CCGCCGCCACACACACACACACACACACACACACACACACAAGATATACCTAGGCGGCAGGCCTTGGCGCTGCGGGCGACGAGAACATAACGCGCATCATGCGAGCACATGGGACGTGACGTCCAGCCACCACCCTCCTCCCTGGCGAGGCAACCACGACGACCGTCCCCCAAAGCCAGAGAGTATCAAGCAACAAGCAAGGCAGCCAATACCGTCCCAGACCCTGGGTCGTGCTCTGGTCTCCAATGGTTAAGAAGTAGCCCAGACAATCACTCCGCCAAGACAGCCTCCCCTCTTGTCCCTCGACCTATCATGGCCCATAGCTCTACACCCTCTCGGGCTGCGTATGGGGGCAGACTTCACTCGGCCCCCCCACGCCCCTCCGGCCGGCGCCGCCCCTTGTTCGTTGGGCTGGCTCAATAGAAAAATCCACGCCCGGTTGTGTACCAGGTATCGTACGGACGGGATCGCTGGCGTCACCTGAGAGGGCTACCTACACGGGTGGCGTGAAGAAAGCAGGGGTGCCGTGAGGAAATGTGAGAGAGAGAGTAGGGAACGGGAAACGATTAGAGTAGAACATGCACAGTGATATACTGCAAGACGCCATAGCCGGGCTAGCCGGGCTCCCGTATCGTCTTTCTATCTATTGTCCTTACCGGACCTGGACGACATAACCGCAACACGCCCCGACCTAGATGTGACAGAGTCGAGCAGACGGCTTGCATCCGGCGCGCGCGCGGGATGTGTGTGTGGGACATGTTACGTACGCCCTGTGATAGGCGGCCTATGGGAGGGGGCGCCCGGGACAGCTCAGGGTGTGCACATTGATGTTGATGGACGACCTGTTCTCCGCACACGAGCTCCGGATGGGGACGTGTGTGTGTGCATGTGAGAGGGAGAGTATGGCATCCTTTGGCCCTTGGTAGATAGGACCGGCGGCTATCACTCATGCAGGCTGGGGAGATCAAAGCAGCTACCTACCTAGGCTGCTTGGCGGCACGGTGTGCTGTTTCTTTCATCACAAGGAGGCAGCAGCATCAGTCCGGGATTTTGCATGAGCTGAGTGAGGAGAGGAAACAGAAAACGGATATAAAAAGGTCTGCTTCCCCCCCTTTCCTACCCGTCCTTCTTGTCTCTCTCACACAAGGCCCAGGCCAGAATCACCACAACCGAAACGGCAAGCGAAACCCAAACACTACAAGACACACCTTCCCCTCCCAACACCCTTACCCACCGGATCACCCCATCCAACATGCCCAACGCCGATTGCGGATGCAACAGCTGCAGCTGCAGCGGTAGTTGCTCGAGCTGCACTTGCTGCGTAGGTGTTGCGGCCTCCCAAAGTGTGCGCTGCGTATGTGGCCACGAGCTGACCTTTTGGAATTTATGCGCATGCAGGACAAGTAAAGCCGCCCCCCGAGCTACGCCTCCCCATGTCGTATGATGGAAGCTTTGGCAGAAGTCCTATATAGAGGGGCAGCAGTGGGCCGGGCACGCCGTGCCGTGGTCTGAGCATTGTACGGAGACCAATGTCGGGCTTATTTTCCTTCAAGATATTCACAAATGCCACGTCGAAATCGGCACGGCCTTCACGTCTCGTATGAACATGGTGGCATCGATAGTCGTGAAATTACATGTCTATATAAGTGTCTAAACGGCTATGCTACCACGTCTACAAATGTCTGATTATGCAAACCGGCCGAGCCCGTCCCCTGTTCGTACTTGTTCGGAGCCCAGTTCTGGAGCCACTCCCTCGCCTTGTCCCGGTCGCCCTCGGCCTGGCACGCAGCGACGCACCACTCAAGCTCCCAAACGCCCTCGGACGCCAGCATCTCGGCAAGCACCAGGTTACGCTGCCCCGCCTCGTCCACGCAGAACCGCATCTTTTTCGAGTGGTCCGCCAGCTCCTCGGGCGTCACCAGCGGCCGCACGACCGGCAGAGCAGCCGAGGTCGAGGCGCCAAGCGGCTCCTGACCGTTGCTGGCGCGGCCCGTCTTGCAGAGCTCGTTGGAGCACCACGCCTTGCCGCAGCCCGTGATGAGCTGCGTTAGGTACCGCCGCTCGACGCGCCGGCGTAGCGCCTTGCCCTCTGGGTCGTGCATCGACACGTACAGGGGGCCGAAACAGGTGGCGCAGAGGCCGAGATCGTTGCCGGGGCTCCCCGGTGTGGCCGCCGGCGCTGCAGGACCGACCTGACCGCGGGGACCGACGCCGAGCAGGGTGCGACCGCAGAGGGCGTTGCGGCAAAGCACGGGCCTGGGGCGACGCTTTTTGTCCATCTCGTGGTGGCGCAGGTGAGAGTCCATGTCGCGAAGCCTTACTATGGCGTTACACAGGTCGCAGTCCGCAGTTCGGGCGCCGTCGGCACGTTCGTGGGCCGTCAGACCCGTGTAGGCCGTCTGCGCGATGCTCGAGGGGTCCGTCGGGTCGCCCTCCTGCGGGACCTCGAGGTGGCAGAAGCGGCAGAGGATCACCTTCTCCGGGCAGTCGGTCACGCGGTGCCGTGCGAGCGCAGGTATTGTGTCAAACTCGAGAGATAGCGCACAGGAACAGCGGAGGGCCTCGCCCGGGTGCATGCGGCCGTCGTGTTTTGCCTTGCTCACAAGGCTGTCCCCAAAGGCAGAATCAGAGCCGGCGCACAGAGAACAGTGCCAGTGCTCCTTGAGCTCATCGGCCCCGGCCACCAGGCCGCAAACGGCGCAGCTTTTGTTGCGGGCGCAGCGCAGTTGATGTAGGACAAAATTCTGCTTTGCTATCCATTGCCCACAATTGCCGCATCTTTGCTTGTTGGCCGTGTCCTCTTCCTCGGGGTCGGCCGCCATCTCTCCGCTCCCATTTGCCCCTGTGTCATCTTTCAGCGAGCTGACGCCGAGGGAAAATTTGTGAGGCTTGGTCCCTATGGCATCGAGTCTTTCGTCTCTGAAACCATAGATAGAGATCATAATGCTTTCAATCTCTTCATCCATGCCAAAAGATGATGACGGTATTTCGAGTCTCGTCGGGTCGCGGGTGGTATATGGCCCCATCTGGGCCGTCCAATACTGAGTCTCTCTAGGGCGCTCACGCAGGTGGCATGTCTTTGGGCTTACGAAGATGTCGAGAAAAAACTCGGTGCTGGCGTCCGGGTCGATTCCGTGCTTTGCCTCAATGACCAGGCCGCGAGATTTATCCCACGACGTGAGCTCGAAGTCAACATAGTCGTTGTGCTGGACCTGGCCCTCGACGGGCTTCCAGATGCCAATTTCCCCACCGGCCGAGCTCTTTTCTGTAGCCGAATCGGCAGACTTGCCCCCGGCCTTTGCGCCTGGCACCTGAGCTGTCGCTGTTGGTACTCGCAAGAGATCGAGCTCCAAGTCGGTGTCAATAACGCAGATGCCATCCCCCTCTGGTTTAACACTCTCCACCAAAAACTCATATTTGTCTCGGAGACCGCTCCGCACGTGTAGTATGGTTCCAACCGATAGCGTCGTATACCCTTGTCTCAGCTCCCTCTCCAGCAGCGGCTCGAGAACGGCGGGATCGTAGGCGGCGTAGTCTTGGGCCGGCGACAGGCCGACATAGTGGCCCTTTGGTAGTTGGTGGGCTGTCACCTTGACGCGCGGGAGGGATTCGGCATCTGAACCGGACTCGAGGCCGAGAGATGCCAAGAGGAACGGGCTCAAGACGACGTGGCCTTCCTCGGCAGAGAACTCGCGGACTCCCGCATGGACAGCCTTGCCGTTGGTCTCGTTGACGAGCCGGAACATGAGGGGATACGGAAGGCTGTGCGCATTTTGCTCCAAGCTGGGGAAGCGAGTCGGGGCGGTGGCGTTTGCGGTGGCGGCGTTCGCGTCTAGCAGCTGTTGGAGAGCGGAGGAAGGCAGGTTGATTTTGTCGCCGGCCGGGCCCTTGAGCAGCGTGTCAACCGCAAAGGTCCCTGACCACCTCAGCTCTGGGCTGGGGCCCGCCATTCTGTAGGTATTGTGACGGTCAGGCCCAACCGAGACCTGGGTCTTTCGTAGGCGTCTTTCGTAGGATACCGATCGGATCGATCTGTGCTCGAGACAAGGGTGCATGCTCATGCGACTTTAGGTTCAGTCAAGTCAGGGACAATCAAGGTCTAGGCAGTTCATGAGCGCCGAAGCGAGGTCTGGGTACACCTCCCTCGAGAGGATTTTTGGTGTTTATTAGGTCTATCGCTTTGCAAGACCAGCTCGCAGGATGACGGCATGGCGTTGATTCTGTGTGCTTCGACGCCGCTTCTCCTGACAAAGCCGAGGCAGCCACCGACGACGTACGCAGGTCGAGAGCTCATAGGTGGGGTCGAGTGGAGCGTCTCGAGGGCGGATTGTTATCGATAGCAACAGCACATCCCGCCGCGCCGACATGGAATTTGGCTTCAAATGCACAAGAGACTGGACCAGACAATGCTACAGCGCTTATAGAAGACACAGCCACGGCCAAGGCCCGGCCGAGTGATTCCCAGGCATTGGGGAAATGAATAGTTGGCAAACGTATGATTGGGAGCGACGGTGACAGCGGCCCCTTTAATGGATAGCGTTGACCACGGCGATGGCGACCAATCTCAAAGCGCTGGCGCCATTCTACGTTACCTTCATTCTCTACATAATACTATCAATCTAGACGCTGTGACCATCATCAGAGGTCGTGTTTCCGTGTCCGATCTGTGCCCTTGGCCGTGACGGGTTTCGCCAACTTTATACAGGCTACCACGTGGCAGTTAGATACCCGTTGAAGCTATTGGCCATGGGCATCATCGGAAATCGAGCCCCGGACATGGAGCACGGGCCGGACTATCTCTTGCTGGTGACGTTTTTCTCCAAGCGATACGGCCTACCGCCCACAAGACAACCCCGCTCGAGGTCGGCCGAGACTCAAAGTGAGGCTGGACTCCCGGTCGTGCTCTGGGTGTCATGATTGCAACGAAACGCCTCTCATATCCTCAGCGTCGGCTCATAGAAACGTGTTCTATTGCGTGCCAGAGGTGGTTAGATAAGAGCGACTATCGAGTGCTTGGACCTCTGGGCGACATGTAGCCAAGACGGCCGGCACGCAAGCGTGGAGAACAATAATTGAGCTACAAACGGCTGGCCCCCGGAGGTATCCACAGCAGATGCACCCAGCCCCTGGGCAGAGGACGGCATTTCTGCTGTCGGCGCTGGTCGCTGGGATGCTTGGCCCTGCAGTGATTACCAGCCGGTGATTATCAGTCGGTGAGAAAGCGGGCAGTTTTTGAGATTGAGAGGGATGGATGGCAGACGAATGCCCGCTGAGGGTCGCACCCGCCTCATCCGGGCTACTGGATTCAGATATCCGAGCAAGATGGGCAGGTGCTACTGCGGTGTCACACCACACCACCAGGCACTCCACTGGGCACCAGGGCGCCACACGCGGGGGACGTTTTGCTTTGTCGGGCACGTTTTATTGCCGGTCCAATAAGCGTTGGCGGTAGCTAATTCCGTTCTGTAACAGCTTTGCTGTTCGTTGCTTTGCTGTTCGTCGAGCAAATGGAAGGCCATTCCTGACAGATTATCTGATCTGCTCTCTTAGGCCCAAAGATAACCGCCCGCCTGTTGAGCCTTTCTTTGTTCTATTGGCGGCCATCCTGACGTCCATGATTTTGCCTCTCTTATCTAGCAGTGCATACAGAGATGTTATCGAGACCTGGTGGCTAGCTGGACAACAAAGCAAGCAAACAAGCAAACAAGCAAACAAGCAACCAAGCAAACAAGCTGAATGCGCCGGGCAAGCGTTCCGTCTAGATTGCTTGGCTGCAGCTCCCTTGCAAGGGGTGGGGAACCGCTGCTACCCCATCTTGGTGGAAGCTGCAGGCTATTCCTTCCCTGGGGCTGATCTTCTTGCCTTGCCTGGTCTTCTGGACCCTGCGAGAGCTCTTGCAGAGATCGGCGGGTTGGATTGCGCTTGGTGATTTGGGATGTGGTCCAATGTGGTGGTGGACTGGAACCCTTTGTCTCGCTGGGAGGTCTGGGCTGGTGCTTCAGATGTTGCTTGATCCCTCATCCGACACCTAGCAATATCATAATCGCAGCTATCTCTACACCATCACCACCAGTCCCTTGTCTTTAACTCACATCCTATAGCATCATTGACCTGCATCCCCCTCCTCCCCGCCCACCCGCGCCCGACTTACTCGCGGCCCCGAGACAGGCGCGCAAGCCAAGCCAAACAGGACAAAGCAAGCAAGCTCTCTAGCGCCCTGCGACGCTGCTGGGATAGTGGCGGAAGAAGCACGCGCCTTGACAGCGCAGCGTGGATACGCCGGCCGACCGACATCTCACACCTGCGCCCATCGACGCAGCGACCCACCCGTCACCCCACGCTTCGCCCCCCGGCAGCGCTGCCTCGGCGCCCTGTCCGCACAGCACAGCAGTGAGGGGACACCCCCCCTTTCAAAGGCCGCCGCGCCGCCCATCTCGGGGATCTGATCTCAGATCTCGTTCTCTCCTGACCGTGCGAGATCCGACCTGTCCCATAACTATTCTTTTTTTCCCACAGGGTCCTAGTTTTTGTCACGTTGACACTGCATGACGCTATTTGCTTCTTTGCGCCGCGCGCTGTAATCCGAAATCAGAGTCGATCGTACCAAGATACTTTTTTGGTACCTAATATCTATCTGTCGCCTTACCTTTGGCCTCTCACAGCAGAGCCCTACCTACCTAGCTCTAACCGGCCCTTGTAAGCAAGGAGGCGTACAATGGCCCAGGAGGTCGCGCCACCTGTTGCACTGTTGGACGACGTTTATACGAAGACGACGACTACGAGTACGACGATAGCGGAGCCCGAGGCAGCTGCCGTCACGAGAACCCTTGGCTGTCTGCTCTCGAACCACTTGGTCTTGTCCCAGACGCTGCCCCACCTCCCGCCCTCGGCCGTCCTCAGCCTTGCCGCCACCTCGCGCGCATTCCGGGACCTGATCTACGGCAGTCCCGTTGCTTTCCGCCACCTAGACCTGACCCAGGTCAAGACGGCCCAGTTCGACATCGACCCCATCGACACGGGCGGCGAGCTATGGCACAACACGCAGCTGGATGAGCACCTGACCGAGGATGAGTGAGCGGGAACCCCTCTTACAGTCGGCATCCCCAATGGAGAGCAGCAGACCAGTGACTGACGCCAGACTCCGTGCGCTGCAGGTTCTACTCGGGACCCCTCCGCGGCATTTTTTCAAACCTTTGTCGCAGCAACCTGCTCTCGTCGGTGCATACTTTGATCCTCGATGGCCTGTCGGTGACGGCCGAGCTGGTGCACGACATGCTCACGGGGCCGTCGTTCCGCATCCGTGTCCTCTCACTGCGCGATGTCAAGAATCTGAACGAGCGCAAGCTGCAGCAGGCGCTTACGACAGCCTGCCGGCCTAGCAGGCCCGAAGGCACGCCGCACCTCAAAGCCGTATATCTGTTCACCCGACGCGACGCCGAGTCGTCCTCTTCGTCGTCGCGGGCAAGCATTGGGCTGGGCAGCGGGTCGTCGAGCTCCACGTCGGCGGGGTCCGCGCCCGTCAGCTCCCTGCAGCAGACCATCAACGCCTCTTCCCCGCACAGGACGGCGCCGTCGCCGATGGAGTGGGACTCGGGCGACGCGTGGTACGACAGGCGCGGCAAGATGCTCAGCCGCGGCATCAGCCGCGAGTGGGCGCACACGCTGCTGGCCTGCCAGGGCATCATCGCCTTCGACGCCGTGCTGTGCGCGGGGCCACGGCACCCCAACTCGCGCGCGTTCGGCAAGGTGCCCGTCTCGTCCGAGACGGCGGCGGCGGCGGCGGGCACCGGCGAGCCGCAGCAGTCACAGTGGGCGGTCGCCACATACGCCGTGGGCGAGTGCGCAGGGTGCGGGGGCGCGCCCGAGGGCGTGACGGTCTGGGGCCGCAATGACACTCCGCACGACTACCCGCTGTTGGCGCCGGCGCCGCTGCACTCGAGCAGCGTCAAGGCGGCGTGCCGCCCGTCGCGCGCGTCGCTCGAGGCCCGCGAGCTGGTGGGCGAATGGAGAGGCAGCAGCAACAGCGAGACGGCAAACGGCGACAAGGAGCGCGGGGACCACTACGGCCCGCCGAGATTCGTGGCGCGGTGCTTCGAGTGCCTGAAGGGCAGGTGCTGCTGGAGCTGCAACAAGTGGTGGTGCGAGTCGTGCTACGCCGGCCCCGGCGGCGGCGGCGGCGGCGGCGCGGATGACAAGGTACGACGGATCGACGGCCTGTGCGGTGACTGCTAGGAGCGCATCTTCGAGCCCGGCCTGCTGTGGCTCTCGGGCGAGGACGACTGGGGCCGCGAGAGGGCGAGGCCCGGCGTCGGCTAGGCGTGGATCGCCAACCCCTGACAGCGTCGCTTCTGGTCTCCTCCGCACCGGCCCTGATTTTTCTCTCTCTCTTGGATGCCCTCCGTCTGCGTGTGAAATGCAGACTAGGGAGCCGAGACGAGAAGAGAATGCGGCCTCCTAGCAACCTCACCGCCCAGCGCCTGCGGACGGTATTCTTCCTATCACCTCCAATCCCTCCTCTTTTCCCCGCCCACAACATGGATGAGCGAGATGAGAAACGAAGGAAATAAAATGCACTCACGCCTTGTTGGAGGGGGTCTTCGTGGAGAAATTGTATGGCAACGTTTGTATCTGCCCCCCTTTGTGACCTGGGTGTCGTCTCGTTGCTTGCATCGTCTCGTCCGCACCACCCTATTCGTCTGGCCATAAGCTCTGCCTTGCCATCCGGCAGCGTAACAGGGGACTCGATGACTGACAAACTTGCCATTCACCGTTATAGCGCGGAGTGACCAAGAGCTGCTGGGAATGCGGCGACAACGTGAGAGATACACTCCCCGAGTTAGGTTTCACACCGCAGTCTCTTTGCTGACCTCCGGGACTGCGACAAAACGGCAGTGCCACGAGTGCATCTCCAAGACGCAGCTGGTGTGCAAGAGCTGCTGCGGCGGATACTGCATCATCCACAACGAAGGCTCGGGCCCGAAACACGTATGTCTCTCTCTCCCTTGGTGGCCTCTCGACAGATGTGCAGTGCTGACGAGTTGCGTGTTTTGGTATCGACAGTGTGACTGTAAGACTCCAGGGCCTCACTGTTCCCCCGCGCAGGCAGGGTGGCGGAGTGAGAAATCGCTCGAGATGCCCCCCAATGAATATTGAGCACGATGACTGATCAGGTGCAATGACGAAAACCGCAGGGTGCTCCAGGGGTAGCCGGAGAACGCGCGACCTTTATTGACGGATTTGAAAGTCGGAAGTAGACCTCAGGAACAGAGGTCCCAAGGAAAGGGTCCCGGCAGACATGTTATGGTGGCTTGCGGGTTCTGGCGATGGTTGCAACGGAGGATTTTTCTTATTTTGCTGGTTGCTTTTCCTTTTTGAACCGGTTTCCTTGCGTTTTCCCGCCTTTTGGACCCTTCCCCACTCTCGGACGAAAGCAAGCAGCCCCACTATGAAACGAACGTGCTCCCCTCTATTTTTATTAGCCTCGGAACTTTGCCTAGGTCTCGTCGGAATTCTTAGGAATCTAGGTCGCTTTCGCGGCTGTGCTGTCACGGGCGAGGGGCTTGCACGGCAGTTGGTTGCCGACTTGCTAGCTCGCAATGTTCACGTGCTATAGTTGTACCCAGCTTGCATATGCCTTGTCTCGGACCGATCTGGGGAGGTTGTGCGAGTAAGGGCCGGCGTAGAATTCGTGCAGGTACTTGCACGAGAAGACGGGTCGTAGACAAAACAAAACGCTCTTCGGGGGGTATTTGCAAAACATGTAGTCAAAAGAGTACAGTAAAAAAAGGGACCTCATCAGTCAGTCAGTCAGTCGTCAAGCCCCAGCCCAGCCGCGAACCGCCTCGCGACCCACAGCGCCCCGTGCTCCTCGTACTCCTGCCTCGTGACGGCGAGGCGGTCGGCGTGCGGGTGGGCCGCGAAGGCGGCGGCGCCGTGCCAGGTGCTGGCGACGGGGTCGGCGGGCCTGGCGACGCGGACTATGCACTCGTCGGGCACGCGCTGCACCACCTCCTGCTGCAGGCGCTGCACGAAGCCGTCGAGCAGGGCGCTGCCGCCCACCACCACCACGTTGGCCAGCAGGGCCGGCCACAGGCCCGTGGGCACCGCGGCGAGCGACTGCATCACCAGGTCCGCCACGCCCGGCCGCGGCGGGCGGCGGGAGGAGGAGCCGCCCGCGTCCGAGGGGTTGAAGAGGAGTTCGGGTACGGAGAAGCGCTCGTTGCGCAGCGTCAGCACGTCCTCGTCCGCCGCCGCCGCCGCCGCTGCTGCTACTGTTGCTGCTGAGGGGTCGGCTCCGCCACCGCGGGCTGCCTTCTTGGCGGACCGCGCGGCGCGGAGCGGGTCGTACTCGCGCACGACGCCCTCGAAGCGGGCGTCAAAGTCTGGCAGGACGTAGTCCCTGGCGACGCCGCCGCCGGTGAGGTAGTCGTCGCGGACCTCGCCCCGCGTGCCCTTCCAGCAGCGCTCGAGGTCAGCCCTAAAGTCGAGCGAGACGTAGCAGGCCTTCTCCTTGAGCTCGTTGACGATGTGGGGGTCGGCGCGCATGTCGTAGTGGCGCAGCGACAGCAGGCGCGTGAGGTAGTTGGTCATGAACTTGCCGCCCACGTTGAGGCGCCGCACGGCCGGGTGCAGCGGGCGGCCGCGCAGGAGCGGCGTCACGGTCGTGCACGAATGGCCCGCGTCGACGAGGAGGATGGCCTCGGCGGGCAGGCGGGCGACGGCGTTGGCCTCGCGGGGCGTGCGGAAGATGCTCTGGATGTCGTGGTATGCGTTGAAGGCGGGGCCTGTTTTTTTTTTGTGTGGCCGTTGTCCAGTCAGTCGGTTAGCCGGCCGTGGAAAAAAAAAAAAGAAGAAAAAAAAGACCCAAGCAGCATAACGCACCTATTCCCCGGTAGTAGCTCGCAAAGCCAAACTCCTCAAACACCATCTGGTCGCAGTTGGCCTGCAGCGCCGGCAGCGCGCCCGGCTGCTCGGCCAGCACGAGCCGCGCCTCGGCCGGGTCGCAGGGGCGCGGGCTCGTCTTGGGGTCCAGCAGCTCGCGGTCCCAGATCTCGCGCTGCGTCTCCCAGTTGACGACGTAGCCGCGCTCGACGGGGCGCCGGAACGCCATCTCGCCAAAGTCGCGGCACCGCGACAGCTCAGACCCCACATACGTCCGCCGGTGCCGGTCGCGCGCGATGCAGTTGGGTATTACGCGCGGCTCCTCGGGGGTTTTCTTGGTCGCGCCGCTGTCGTCGCCGTCGTTGTCGTCGTCGCTGCGGGCCACGAGCCCGGCCTTGAGGGTGTAGGCGCCGTTGTCCAGCACCAGCGTCTGCCGCGGCGGCGCGGCGGCGGCGGCGGCCCGCGATTTGCGTCCGCCGGCCATGGCGGTGGCTGCGGCGTGCGAGCCGTGTGGTGACCGAGATTGGGGCCTGGCGTGGCCGTCCGGAGGGGAGTTTTTGTCGGTCAAGTCGGAAGGGCGGGAGGGGAAAGAAGTGCTTGATGTGCCGAGGCGCTAAAATTTCATTCTCGACGCAGAGGCCTTTCAACGGAATTGGTGATGTAATCCTGACAGGGATCGTGGGACTTTACAGTATTCTGGGGACTTTCCCATCCCTGATCCCTGCCAAGCCCATTCCATTCACAAGCTCCAATTCCACAACCCCAAACCCGCTTCAGGCTATTGGTATTAGTTGCGAAACTGAATTATGAACATGATAATGACAGTGCCCCTGCAGGCAGCCCAGAGCATCGTCGCTCTGATTTGACCTCTATGAGGAGGAGTCTCGCTTCGACGCTTTGCTGCAGCAAACAGTTGATGGTCAAGAGCTTCATCGCTGCTCGGTTCATGGGCTAATCCAACCGTTTCGGCTAGTCACCAGCTCGTATGCTTCACTCCAACCCAGTGAATAGGTGAATACACGTGATTTTACACTTCAACGTGATTAGCTTGCCGGCTCCTAACGCTACAAGTCCACTACATTTAGCCCTGATCTCGTCCAAATGACATACGCTCATCTAATGCGACCATCGTCGCGGCAGTGTTCAAAACAGACAGGTGCCCGCCGACACCCTTCCAGAAGCCCAAAGGCCGCTTCCAGGCAAGCAACCCGAGAAGCCCTTCTTCCACCAAATGCCTATAATCAAGATAAGTCTAGGGCCAAAACAGCCCAAGTATCCCCCAGTCACCAGAGCCGCCATGCAGGGCCGTAATGGAAAGCGATGTTGGGCTCTTTCACCCAGCCTTCCCCGAGGGCGTGGTGGCACTGGCCCCTTTTGTCTCGTTTTTGATGTCATGTCGCAGGGCGCCAATGTCGACTCGGGTGAATAACCTCGAGAACACAAGGGGCAGTACAAATATCGGCCATTTTTTCCCCTCCACACACATGTCGCGGGGTTTGCCCCTTATCCAACTTCCCGGACTCTTGCAGCTGCCTGCTCCAAGACTGTATTCAGCAAACACACCACGACACGCCCGACACCTATACTCGGGACAAGGAGCAGTCCTTCTCCTGCGTCTCGACATCTACACGAGAACGAAGCCCGTTTATCGGCCTCCAGAAACTCTCTCCCGTCCAACGGCCAGAGAAAATTCATCATGGTCGTCTTCTACCCGGGCCCCGGCGGAGTTCACGTAACCTACCCCGTCTACTCCTACTCCTACGTCCAGCCCGTCGTGGCGTCGCCCGCGGTCGTCGTCCAGCCCGTCACGACGGTTACGCCGGTCACGACCATCACTCCAGTCACGACCGTCACGCCTGTCGTCCAGGCCCAGGCCGTCTATCCAGTGGCCTCCGTCGTCGCGCCGGCCTACCAGATCGGTATATACAACCAGCCCCCGAAGTGACGTGCCGTGTACTTCCGACCGTCATAGGAGCAAAACAGCCCCTAGTATTATCTTTCCAGTGGCGGCGCTTGGACAATATTCTTAACTCGACCTCCCTCCTTTACCTTGTCAATACTCTTGCATTTCCTGGCTTCGTAGCCGACTCTCGAAAAGGCATGTATGCCGTAAGCCAGTCTAGGACGAAGCACGCCCTACGTGTAGAAAAGACATCGGTGACTGTTCCTATGACTTCATCTGCGCCGTGTGCATTTCTGACAAGAGCCTAGGTGTATTTCGCTACTTCTGAGACCGCCACTCGCACAACCGGCTTGCTCGACGCCGCTGCTTCCAACACAGGCGGGCACGATGACTCCAGTGACGGGAAACACTGCAGCATCTTCCCGTTACTTGTGCGCCCTCGAGAAATGGTCAGGGTCAACACCGACCTGACACAAAAGGGACCTCTGGGCCAGGGACGTAGGCAAAAACGGGATGCAGCCCGATGGGCAAAGAACGGAAAGCCAAGGGGCTTTGGTAACGGAGGTTGAATAATACACTACTTGATGTTTGAGATATTTGGATATACTGTGGCTCCTAGACAAACAGCACCCTCGACTGTGCCAGGCCAAGTTCCAAGTTGGACCTTTGACTGTGCGTGCCTGATCCTCCTAGCCCGAACCCCGCATTCCCTGCAGCAACGGCCCCGCCTTCCGTCATGGCGGGGCGGGCGGGAGGGATAGCTTACGGCAGCCCGCCCCAGTGTTGTTTGACAAACAGACGCGGGCGGCGCATAAAGGAGGACTCTCTGGAGGGCTCTCTGTCTTCAACTCTTTAGGCCGCAACACAGAACCAAACCCTCATAGCAAACCTCCCATACACAGCAACAACAGCAAAGATGGCTGCCGCCGCCGAGGCCCTCGTGCCCAAGTTCAAGTTTGAACGCCAGCTGAACCAAGGTACGATATACCCACAAGTGACATATACCTAGGTGCCCGGGAACCGGAGACAGCTCGCTGATACAAACGAACCCATAACCAAAAAAAAAAAAAAAAGACCAAGCTGGCCGCCGCACAACCCTCCTCGGCTCCATCGACGGGCAGCCCGCGGTCCTCGTCGTCGAGCGCGCGCCCTTCCCCACGTCGCCCGACTACCTCGCCTCCATCACGGGCACGCTCGCGACGCTCAAGAACCTGGGCAGCAACGACATCTACCGCTGGTTCATGGCCAGCAGCGGTGCCGGTGCCGGGGAGGCCACAAGCAAGAACGACCAGGACCAGCACGCCGACCTCAAGATCAACCTCATCTGGCCCTGCACCGAGCAGCACGTCAAAAAGTACGGCAAGCAGGGGGTCCGGTTCGTGACCGAGACGCCCGAGATCTACAGGGACAAGGTGCAGCCCTTTATGCGGGCCAAGCGTGAGGAGGGGCGCCTGAACTGGGTCTACAACATCATCGAGGGCCGCAAGGAGGTGGAGGACGTCATCTACCGGACCCCGCTGGGCGAGGCCGGCGACGAGGGGTTCCTGCTGCTGCCCGACCTCAACTGGGACCGCAAGACGACCGAGGCGCTGCACCTGCTCGCCATAGTGGAGCGGCGCGACATCTGGAGCCTGCGCGACCTGCGGCGGCGCCACCTTCCCTGGCTGCAGCACATGCGGGCGCGGCTGCTCGAGGCAACCACGGGTGCGTACCCGGGCAGGATCGAGGCGGACCAGCTCAAGCTGTACGTGCACTACCAGCCTACATACTACCACTTCCACATACACATCGTGCACGTGCAGCTCGAGGCCGGCGCCACGCAGGCCACGGGCAAGGCCGTCGGGCTCGAGAGCATCATGGCGCAGCTCGAGAGCATGGGGGACGGGGAGGACGCGGGTATGGATTCGGTGCCGCTGAGCTACACGCTCGGCGAGGCGAGCGAGCTGTGGACCGAGGTCTACGAGCCCCTCAAGAGGACTGGTACTTCTTCTCAATAGCCGCCACCAGTTCGTTGACCCCCGGGCCCTGCGGGCACTCGACCCATTCCCCTCCGTCGCGGATGCACCAAACCTCGTCCGCAAGCCTCACGGTGCAGCTCAGGGTCACGCCGGCCTATTTTCATTTTGGTTTGGATTTTCCAGTTAGACTGGGTCGTTTCACACGAAACGATAATGAGGTAGGTATATACCCCATAGAACGCGTACCTTTTCAGTTCTTTGAACACTCTCCCTGAGCATATCAGTGCCGTAAGCGCCGTTGTCTTTGGTCGCACAGTCGTTGAGGGCCTTGAGATCGAGAGCGTGCTCTAGGGCGCACTCCTCAACGAGTTCCTTCTTGGGGATATTGCGGTAGTCGTTTGAGATGCACATGGTGAAGCCGAGGTAGGTCTTGGGGTCCGGGTAGAGCTCGGCGGCGCAGAGCTCGAGGATGTTGCCCATGCCTATGTCCAGGACAAGGTGTCAGTCAATCTGGGGCTTGGTATCGCACTAGCCAGGGCCGGATAGGGATAGGGGTGAGTTGACGCACATTCGGCCGGGCCATGTTTGCAGGCGACGCCACTGTCGCCGTCAGGACTGTTTCATGCGGGTCAGTGTCGATACAGCCTTGGGGCGGGGGTATTTGACAATAGATATATAACTTACGTTCCAATAAAGGACAGGGTGAAGTTGACCTTGTCGTAGGCCCTTTCCATGACTGGGAGCACCATCTGCTTCAGGCAGTCCTGTTCCCCCGGCACGGTTAGTCGGCCGTCCGGAATTAGAGGCTTGATCACATTAGAAACCTACCCTCGCGTCTGGGCATTTGCTCATGATATGGGCCTCGAGCTGCACCAGGTTGGCGGCCTTTGCTGGAGGGTTCGGAGTCGTGGGTGCGGGTGCTGTCGGGCTTGTCTGCACGGGCACCTGGACGCTCCCCAGGGGGCGGATGTGGACGAGGAACATGAAGAAGCAGGCTCCGACGATGGCCATGGTGATACACGAGCGACTCCGTCGGGTGGTGGAAAGGGACCGGCCCCTGGTTGGCGTCGGGTATCTTTTGATGTCGTCCATCTTTTCGTCGGCGAACGGAAGCTGGCCTTGAGGCTGCTGGGATTCTTGCATTCGAGGGCGTCGGGGAAGGAGCACTCGGGCTGTGAGGAAGGGGTTCGTCCGTTGTGAAGGCACCGCCGTCGTTATCGGGTTGTTTATCGGGTTGTTTTCGGAGAAAGGGGCTCACTCTCTCGTCTCCCGTCAACAGGTTGAGTTGTTGCGGCTGTCTGTGTCAGGTTGGAACACCGCGCTGGACACCAACGAATCAAGAAGTGGGGCCGGCAAGGTGACGCAGCAGTGTTGGCTCTCGGACAGCGGAGCAATGGCAGTGGCCTTGGACCTGGCCGTCTGTGGAATCAAGACCTGACTTGCAGCAGCTCGGGCCATGTGGAGTACCCGCCCCCAAATGCGCGTGCATGGTGCCTTGTAATTCGCCCCTGGGCCGCTGTAACGTTCCCGTGCTCAGCAGCTGCAACATGGAGAGCAGCTGGAGGCGCGCGAGGCCACCGACGGCTGCATCCAGTGCCAAATCGGGTGCTTGATCTGATCCTGGTGCCAATCCCGCTGGATCGGCCTGGCGTTCCATGGCAAGGGGAGAGAGGGCGGCCCTGGTGCCAGTGAAGTGCCAGCGAGGGCGTCCTTTTAGACTCGAGCTTGGGCCGGTATCCTCCATTGATCTTTGCCTGTGCCCGTGTGAGTTCTGCCAAGTCGCCGTCGGTCACAGCCACTTTTCCACTCTCCATAAAGCCAGCCCTTTTGCATATTCCACTGGCAGGCATTAGATGTTGAAAATTCCCACCCAGTCACCAACGCTGCCTTGCTGGGGCATCTAATTCCATCCATCCTCTGGCAGCCGTGGCGGTGGGTCGCCCCGTCCTGGGCTCGAGCTTACACGCCAAAAGCAAATAAAAAGGCACAGCTGGCTTTTAGTGCGGTCCGCTGCTGCACTTGGGTGCTGCTTGGGAGACGCTCTGCTGCGAGCCATGCGCTGCTGGCCCTGAACCCTCACTCGACCCAGACAAGGACAAGAATAAAATCAGCAAGATGCCTTCTCAGGCTGCGCCCGCCACCAACGGCCAGGCTCCCATCGTGGCTCCCCCGGCCAAGGCTCTGGCCGAGTTCCTGCAGCCACTACGCATCGACGCCGCCCTCATCCACAAGCTCGCGCAGGACCTGAGCGAAACCTTTGTCCATCTGGCCGCCAATTCGGACGACCAGTTCCTGCCCACGCCCATCTCGCAGTCGATATTATCACACCCTATCGACGATATCACCTCGGGCCCGTGAGTTTCTCCCACCCCTCGTCTCATCCCCCACCCAGCACAGCCTTCCCTGCACGAAATTCGTCCAACCCGCCTGCCCACCGCCAACCAGGACGTGGCGGGACCAGCCTGAGCCACCGGTCTTGGTCGTTGCGGGAAGGCGAGAGAGAGGGCAACCAAAAAAACTGCTGTCCTTGTGGGGGTCGCATGTTTGTGTGGGGGCTTTCTCCGAGGCGGCCAAGCTTCTCAGCCTTGAAGCAACGCGCATCTCATGCAGGGTTTGGCGATTCATGATGCCTTTTCGGGCGGGTTTTGAAAGACGGTGCCTAGCGACACAAATCATAGACAGGCGATGAGTTTCTGGCAAGGCAGCCTGCTAATGGAACACATACATCTTGCAGACATTTGGCTATTGATATGTAAGTGTTCTTTCTGATATCAGGGACCTTTTCCCAGTCATTTCACATACTGACATATACATCAGCGGCGGCACAAATCTCCGCGTTGCCTTCGTGGAGCTGGCACATGATGCGCCGCAGGACAGCGAAGCAGAGAACCAGCCCCTGCGCAGGCACCTCGAGCACAGTTGGCCCATCGGCGAGCACCTGAAGAATGAGAACGCCAAGGGCCTGTTTGCCTGGATCGGCGCCCGCATCGCCCAAGTCGTGGCCAAGGCATGCGCTCAGCAGCTTCGCGGCATCGCTGCCGCCACCGAACTCCCCCTCGGCGTCACCTTCAGCTTCCCCATGGACCAGGAAACCCTCAACACGGCCTCGCTGCGCCAGATGGGCAAAGGATTCGCCATAACCTCGCGCCTAGATCTCGGCCAGCACCTGCTCGACGGCTACGAGTCCAGCCGCGGCAAGCTGCCTCGCATCCGCATCGCCGCCATCACCAACGACGCCGTCGCCACCCTGCTTTCCTTCATGCATCAGTTTTCGGCGTCGTCGACATCGCGGACGGCAACGGCGGCGGCGGCGATCCAACGGCGGCCTGTCATGGGCCTCATCTGCGGCACCGGTTGCAACGCGACCGTGTTCATGGGTCTCGGGGGCCTCAAGCAGAGCAAGCGCCCCAAGAAGGTGCAGACCTTGCCGGGAGACGGCGGCGGCGGCGGCGAGCAACTGAGCATCGCCGTCAACACGGAGTGGTCCATCAACGGGTCCGCCGGCCCCCTGCGCAACAACGGTCTCGTCAGCCGCTGGGACGACATGGTCAGCGCCGCAGCCGAGAAGCCGGGCTTCCAGCCGCTCGAGTACATGACGGCCGGCCTCTACCTGGGCGAGATTGGCCGCCTCGCGCTCGTGGACTACCTGACCAACGTGCTCAGAAAGGACCCCAAGGCGTTTCCGGAGAAGCTGCTGCGGCGCTTCGAGCCCCGCAACACGACGTTCCTCAGCCACTTCAGCCCAGGCCAGGATGGGAACTGGTCGGGCCTGGTGGACCGGCTGAACGACGAGTTCCCTACGGGCGGCGCGCAGCGGCCGCTCGAGGGCATCGAGAACCGCCCAACGGCAACGGCGGCAGCGGCTGGGTTCCGCTGGACCGAGGACATGGCGCAGGCCCTGTACCACATCGCGCGGGCCATCGAGTTCCGCGCCGCCGGCATCATCGCGGCGTCCACGGTCGGGCTCCTCCGGTGCTCGGGCGCGCTCCCGTCGGCCGCCGAACTGGCGGCGGCCGGCGCCGCCGAGCTGCACCTCGGCGTCGGCTACACGGGTGGCTGCATCACAAACTTTCAGGACTACCTGCAGCACTGCCAGGAGCTGCTCGACGAGCTCGTCGCGCGCGAGTACGGCGACGACGACGGCTGCTCGACTCGGGTGCGCATCGTGCTGGAGCCCTGCCACGACGGCGGCATAGACGGCGCGGGCATCCTGGTCCCTGCTGCCGTGGCCTCGGGGATTTAGAGAGCGTGTTTGGTGGCCTGGGGGCGTTGCTCTGGTCTTGACATGCCACGTAGAATAGAGGGGGGGTGATACAAGGATTTCGCCATGTCTTTTTTTTTTCTTCTTCTCTGCTTCTCCCGTTCTGAATGGCGAACGCCAGACATTTCCATGTACTTTTAGTGGTATCGAGGTGATGGGTCAAAGGGGACGATCATATCGAGATGCCGATGCGATGGGCTAATACATTTATGATTTCAGTTTGGGTATCGATGGCGGTGATATCGCCCGTTGGCCATCCTTGAGCCAAACCGACCGGGCCCAGTATCTAAAGACTAAATCAAAACAACTCCAACCCCGTCCGTTATACCCCCTTCCGATGTCTAGAGTGCGCCATAAAACCTGTCAAATGCATAATACATGTACGAAGAAGCGAAGAGGATAAAGGGAATTCCGAATCGTAAATGAGTCTCGTGTGGATGCGTACGTGTGCGCCAAGCTCAAACCTCCTCGGGCTGCGGCTCAGGCTTCTTGGGCGCGGCGGGCTTGAGCTTGGGCAGCTTGATGGGCAGCAGCAGCAACACCGACACGGCGGCCAGGACGGCGCAGCAGGCAAAAGTCAACGACAGCGCGGCCTCGTAGCTGGCCACGACCTGCGACCTGTAGGGCTCGGGCAGGCGCGCGACGGCGGCGACGGAGCGGCGGACGGCCTCGACGACGCGGGCCTTGTCCGGGCCCGACACGTTGACGTCCAAAAAGTGCGACAGGCCCGCCTGCAGCGCCAGGCTGGAGCCGGCGATTCCCGCGACGGCGCCCAGGCTGCGCCACAGCTGCAGCGTCGTGGTGACGACGGCCTGCTCGCGCTGCTCGGTGGCGCCCAGCACGGCCAGGAACGTACCCGAGAACTGCAGGCCCTGGCCGAGCGCGGCGGGGACGAGGCAGAGCACGTAGAGGGCGTCGGGCAGGCCGCGGCGCATGGCGCTCAGCGATGCCGTCCCCGCCAGGAACATGCAGGCGCCCAGGACGGGGGCCCACTTGAGGCCGCGGGTGCGGGAGACGAGGACGCCCGTGGCCATGCCGGCGGCGGACGAGACGAGCGAGGGGACGGCGAGGCGGGCGCCCGAGGCCGTGGGGGAGGCGAGCAGGACGGCCTGGAAGAAGAGCGGGGCGTTGAAGAGGACGGCGTTTGTGAGGAAGGCGGCGATGTGGTTGGCAAACACGAGGTTGGCCACGGGCGCGCGCCGGACCAGCTCGAGCGGCATGACGGGCCGCTCGGCGCGGGCCTCGACGTGGAGGAGGAGCGGGATGAGCACGAGGGCCGTGCCGGCCAGGCAGGTCACGACGAAGGGGTGCGACCACGGCAGCACGGTGCCGCCCAGGTCAAGCCCGAGGATGAGGCCGGCGACGCACGCGACGAGGAGGGCGGACCCCTTGGCGTCAAAGTTGCGCATGGCCTCGGCCAGCGGCTCGCGGCGGCCGCCGTTACGGTGCAGGCCCAGGTCCGCGGGGACGACGGCGACGACGACGGCGAGGCAGAGCAGCAGCGCGGGCACCTGGCAGCCAAACTCCCAGCGCCACCCGAGCGTGTCGGCCATGAGCCCGCCCAGGGACGCGCCGGCCATGGAGGCCAGGCCGTAGGCGACGTTGAGGCACGACTGGTAGGGGCCCCTGCGCTCGATAGGGACCATGTCGCCGACGCAGACGGCCGCCATGGTCATCATGCCGCCGCCGCCGACGCCGCCGAGGGCGCGGGCGGCGATGAAGAAGCCAATGGAGGGCGCGAGCGCGCACCCTAGGGTGGACGCGATGAAGAGCACCAGGCTCGCGACGAACGGCGGCTTGCGGCCGAGCGAGTCCGAGGCGCGGCCGACGACGGGCTGCACGGCGGTGCTGGTGAGCAAGTAGGCCGTCGACAACCACGAGGCCGAGTGCGAGGCGCCAAAGTGCGACGTGATGACGGGGTGCGACGACGCCAGAATGGTGCTGTCGAAGAGCACGACGAAGTAGGTGAACATGATGCAGGCGAAGACGGCCCGGAACTGCCGCGTCGTCACGCCGCCCAGGAACGGGGACGATGACGGGCCATCGGCATGCTTGCCTGGGCCTGCTTCGTCGTCCGCCAGCAGCGTCGTCATGTCCGAGTCGGTCCTCGGCGGCAGGAGTGGCGACGAGGCTGAAGATGACGTCTCGGCGCCGCCGCCCCGCGACGCGCTCAGCGCCGAGATGGTGGATTCGCTGTCGCTGTCGGCATGGCGGGATCCGTCCTCGGCTGACGTCGCCGTCCCCAGCAGCAATGGCGTCTGCTCGTCCACCTCCACCGCCTCGTCGTCCACCGATGAGCGCCCCCGGATCGGGGCGGTCCCGCCTATGGGGTGTAATTGTTGCATTTGCCTTCTGTCTTCGTCTTCTACCCCGGATTCCAGGTAGAGGCTGTCGAAAAGGTGGAAAGATGGAAAAAAGGGTCGGGCGAGAGAGAGTTCGCCGGGCGTTTGATCTAGTGCTGCTTTTCTGCGCCAATAATACGCCACCAGCAGGGCCTGTCTTTAAAACGTAATCTGCACAAGTTTCTGGGTTGGGTTTGCCAAGCTTTGACGCACGAATCGTCGATCGACAACAGCTTGCAGGATGGATGACGGTTATGATGCGTCCATCTCGGAGTCGCTCATGGAGATCCATCCCGTCGTATTTATTTTCCTTCCAGGTCAGCCAACGCAGACACCCACATGCGCCAGACAAAAAAAAAAAAGCTGCCTAGAATGAAGCCGCCCGGGAACAGCCCTAATCTGGTCTAGGCTTTGTTCCCTCTGGGCAGTGCTTCAACCTCCCATTGTCGCGCGCCTCCAAGTGGGGGTCTCATAAGGGGGCATCAAAGAAGGGATGATGCTTCCACATGGGAAGTCCGCTCAGCCCGATGCGCCATTGACGAGAGCGGTCAGCCGTCGCCGGGAGCGCAGGGTACCCCGGGCTATTGGGCTTGGACGATTCATCTTCTCGTGCCTGCAGAACCCCTTGTAGAACAAATCGGCGACCTGCCTGGGGGGCCCACCAGACGGGTTGTTCTTTTTGTTTTTCAGGGGCCCGGGGGCCTTGGTAGGGCAGGTGCCTGTGCCGCATGTTGGCTGCAGATGGCGACCACAAGCGCGTGCCACGGCAGCCGCCTCGCTGTCTGCCTCTTGTCGAGCGGGCGGGCGCAGTAGGTACTAGGTAGTACAAATCCCCCCACACATAAGCGAAATGTCGAAAAATGGTAGTGCCACACAGCCTTCTCGCCGTGACTCCTTTTGTATTGCAGTTTACCCGATACAGCGTCAATATTTGATCGAGGTGAGCGCGAGACCGAGCCCTACCGAGGTGAGAAGGGCGCAAAAGATTATTTTTCCCTTGCTGGTATTTTATACACATGCACCACGTGAGCTCCTTCTCAGACGCTACAGTCATCTTTCGAGACATGCTCGGGGCTTTGCGTTTATACGAGCCAGCTTGTCAGCGGCCTTGTTCTCACTCTCGCATTTTAACTGCTTATCCCAGATTGTACCGATCCTTCGCCAGTAACGCAGGCAGACATGCCAAACCCTCCAAGGAGAAGCCAAATGATGTAGATGGTATTTTACAAGACAATTTTGGTGATAAAAAAAAGGACAACGGGGAAAGCCAACTCTGAGGTCGTCGGCGGGGTTGCCAGCCGATCCACAGTGAGGCCGCTGGAATCGCCTCGACCCCGTCTCAATAATAGCCGTTGGCCACCGCCGCGGCTTGCGGCACGACGTCTGACTCTTCCCTAATCCGCCTGTAGAGCTCCTGCGCCTCGCGCTCGCGCCGGCTGACATATCCGACCTCCTCGCGGAGCGCCTCGAGCCGTCGCCTGACTGCGACCTCCTCCGACACCGAGAGCATCTCGAACGCGCCGAGCGCATTGTTGGCCTTGTTCAGCGCCTCTGACGCCTCCCCAATCTTCTTGCGCAGCATCTCTGCTCGGTTCTTGTAGCCGCCGTGGTGGAGGTTGAGCTTCTTCTCCAGCTTGTTGCCTTTTTCTGCCGACGACAGGATGGCTTCTTGGACTTCCTGCGATGCGGTCAAATTTTGGGTTAGCATATGTTCAAGTGGCGATGTCGTCGTGGCGGCAGACATGCAGATACATACCTTGAGAGCAGCCTGCATTGCCGCCACCTGCTCCTCCTCCTCGTCCTCGTCGTAGCAACCAAGGCCCAGGAGCAGAGAATTGCTCTTTTCCCGGTCCCAAACCTTCTGCACGTGTTCCGATTTTTGAACACCGCTGAGCTCGACCAAAATCTGTAGCCGCGCCTCGTCCAAATCCGCATCGCTGATCCGCTCGAGCTCGGCCGGTTTTGATACTGGCCGGCTGCCGGGAGCTGGGAATTTCGCTGCGTCGTTGGCCATGAGGATAGCCACCTCCTTCGCCACCATGGCCGCGGCTGGGTCCTCGAGCTCGTCCGCGCGCTTGAGCAGGTGGCTGACGTCGACAGCCGCCGGCCTGGGGAGGCCGCGTTGCACTGTTTGGGTCCGCCGCCTACGCTCCAGCTCCTCCTCGGCCTCTCTCCTGTCGCGCTCTCTCCGATCCCGCTCGGCCGCGTCCTCCTCCTGCTTCTCCACAGAGTCCACCTCCATCTGCTCCTCGGGCAGCTCAAGGTCCCACTCGGTCTCTTTGGGTTTCGGGAGCGCCGATAGCCCTTTGAGCAGCTTCTGCTTTGCTGCCACCTCATCACCGACCGAGTTGAGTGCGAACCCGTCTCGTGGCGTGCGGAGTGGTGTCTGGCCGGGCGCCCGCGGCGTCATGCCCGGCCCGCCGGGTGTCATACCGGCCATGCCGGACCGAAGAGGAGTCGCGAGGGGGTTGGGCGTGGACATGACCTGTTTGCGGGGTGCGACACCGTCGAACCCGGTCGATGCAGACCCTTCATGCAGCGGCGTGTTCTCGCCACCCAAAAGCGACGACTGCGTCTCGGTAAGCGCGCGTATGTTCCGGATTTCGTTGGCGATGTGGTCCTCCTGGGCCGGGGCCAGGGGCGTACGGATCGGGGCGCCGCTGTTGAGCTGCGAGTAGGATCCGACCAGGCCCCTTGTCGCCGTGTTGTCGCTCTCGCGCGCCATCTCACTGGCACGCTCGCCCAACATTCCCATCTTGACAATGTCCTCCAGCTCGCCCTCGCTGATCTGTGGCGCGGGTAGCACCAGGGAGCGGCGCTTGCTGCTCTGCTCGGCTTCGCGCATCTTTTGCATGCGGCCGGCCTTGAGAGCGGCCTGTAGCGAGGCGTCCTCCTTGTCGTTCTTCCTCCTCTTGCGGTCTGGATCCTCGTCCTGGTCGCCCTTGCGCTTGGTGGCCAGCTGCACCTTCTTGGGGTCGAAGGCGGCGTGCTCGCGCTGGTTGCGCTGGTGCTCCTCGCTGGTATCGTAGAAGCCCGGCACCGGCTTCTGTTCAAAGGGGATGTCGGCATTGTAGTCCATCTGCCCGGCTTTGCGCGTCGTGACCTTGATGTTGATACCCGACGTCTTGAGCTCGCGACGCTTCTGCAGTGCCGCCAGCCGGCGCGACTCCTCCTGCTGGCGCTCGCGGGCCTTGCGCTTTGCTTTTTTACCCTGCGTGTTCGCCAGACGGGCACGGGCCTCGCTCAGCATCTCCTTCTCGTCCTCGTCCAGATCAACCGTGTCGGCCTTTGCCGGCTTCGTTTCCGGGTCCGGATCAATCTCGCCGGGGCGCAGGCGGCGGACCGAGTCGGCGGTCGGGGCGCGCGCCTCGCCTCCGGACCCCGTCAGGCCCAGAGCACCGGACTCCTTCTGCTCAGCCTCGTCAAGGAGCTTCTGGTAGCGCTCGAGGCACTGGTTCGCGGTGCGGCCAACGATGGGGGCGATGGTGCGCCACTGGGTGGGCATCAGCTTGGCCAGGTGCAGCAGCTTCTCGTCCTCATCCTTGCTCCACTCGATCTTCCGGATGCTCGGGTCCAGCCATTCGTTCCATCGCGCCTTGCACTGCTTGGGCGTCTTGCGCGCCAGCAGCGACGACACGCGAGCCCACTGGTTCAACCCATACTTGGACACTGACGCCTTGAGGATTTCGTCCTCGATGTTGGTCCACACGCCTCCCTTGACGACGGGCATCTTGGCTGGCGAGGGCCCGACGGGCTGGAGCGGCGGGGAGATTCGCTATCGCCGTGATGCAGTGGGCGTTGTTGGGTTGATGGACTCGGTGCTGGGATAAGAGGGTTGACGTCTCGCGTTCGTTTTCCACTTGAAAAGAAGCGTCGGCAACCGCGAAGATAGAAAGCGTGAAGCACGCGACGATTGGCTGCGGGTGGATAAGTGTGGGGCACGGTGCCAGTTGGCTGACCTGCTCCCACGGCTATCCATGGATGGTCCCCAGTGTAAATTATCTTCCAGAATTATCTTCCGGCTCAACACCAACTCATAATCACGGCCATCGTTGGCCCGCCCCATTGCCCACAGCCTATTCCAGTCGTTTAGTCGCAGCAACTGTGCTAGGACTCAACTTTATTTATCCATATGGAACCAGCCAACAATGGAAATTTTCCCATCAGATAATAGTCACGTTCAGTGTTTTTCCTATCTACTTGTTCAAACCTGCGCCTAGACGGTCTGTGGACCTTCACAATGAACAAAGACGCTAGGACTCCAGGCATCGTCGCCAAGACCTTATTGGAATAGGAAGATAGGGGAACCCAAATCCAAAACGACAATCACGACGATGTGGGTTGGAGGCGCGATACGTTTGTTGTATAAATAGTATCCCGTGTGTATGCCATCCTATCCCGTCTAATACTGTAGGGTAGGAGATACAATGATCAGCAAACTAACCTCGGTGATAGATAGACGATAAGGATCATCTGGAAAAAAATTCCCCGGTTCAGGGGGCTGAGCGCAAGTGAGTTCTGAGTTTTTCCACTAACATAACTAAGGGGTTGGCATTGGACCGAAGCCATGGATATCAGGGCGGGGCATGCACGAGACAACGTTTATCATATGACTCCATAGGAGCACCGTTTTGAAGCGCCACTCAAGGTCAACCCGAGGCAAGAGCGGCCACATCAGGTCTTCCAGGCCGTCGCAGAGAAGATGTGGGCGAAGAAGAAGAAGAGGAACGAGGCCTTGACGGCTGCCGCTGCGGTGAACAAAGGGTCGTGAGGTGCAGTGAGGTACGAGGGGCGGGGTTGGTGATCACGGGCATACATGTCATATCACACCCCTTGCAACTCTTGAAGAAGCACGCCACGACAGAATCGCTGGTGGGCTGACACATGCACTTCATGCTTGTCAGGGGACAGCCGCGGTCCGCATGTTTCACAGCACACATGAGCAGGGTGTCATTCATGGAGTGGGCTGTCCTGGTTAGTGATTTCTATCAGGACATGCGGGTAGAAACCTGCGCTTTTAAACGGTAGGGGCTCCTTACAATGCATTCGGTTAGCTCTGGTACTAGCTTGTTCAGAGTTTCGAGATCTGACGATATCAGTCTGACAGAATGAGAGAGCGCAGAGCAACAGAGCTGTGAAAGAGCTGGCGATTCTCATGGAGTCAACAACAGACACCAGAGGCAGCCTCCAAAAGAGAGTTGGCAGACGGACATTCTCGAAATTTTTGCAAGACGGGGGCGCTGTCGAGACGAATGCATATCTATCCATATATGCTACTTCATTCGAGCCCTTGGGCTGAGCTTCCCTCGCCTCACCAACTCCATCCATTAGCGTTTTCCCGCATACCCAGACACGGTTCAGACGCTCAAGCCTAGTGCTCCTCGCTTCGTAGTTCACGGCCTCGCCATCCAAGAAGAAGTCGAAACGTTCCGCCGCACCTGCCATCGACTAAGCGGTTTAGGAGGCGGTGCCCGCCATGTTGTAAAAGAGGCTACGACGTTGTCAACAGCCATGGCGGACGCGGTTTGGCTGCTCCTCCTTATCGGGCTTTTGGTTCTGTAGCTAAGATTCTTGGCTCTTCCATCGGTGTGCTCAAAGCTCGGGTTAGCAGAATGCAAGTTTGCAAAGGAGACATTGCTCCTCTCAGTCGCGTACTCTGCTGCCTTCTTGACGCTCAGGCGTCCTGTCGTCACTTCGCAGTGCCACCATCAACACAAGTTGATCAAACCCCTGGGCACTTTGATCATATGCTCGTCCTGGCTAGATGGTATCAATGACCGACTGTGGTGCTCCTTCCGCGGCCACCCATGGGCGTGCCATGGAACCTGGTGTGCCTGGCACTCGTGGCAGGGTGTCATCGCATTCTAGCATGGACGTTGAGCTGCCGCCCCAAGTCAACTGTGCGCTGCGCCCCATCCGGGATTCCCGGTGCGACAAGCTCGATCCTTCGGCGCCTTCTCAACGAGCTCCGACCCGTCGAGCTGGTAAACTGTGAATATCAGCTACGCTACTCTAGAAGCGGTTAAATCGACTATTTGACTTTGCCGAGTTTATGCCGCACAAACACACAGACCTCCCACTCCATCCATGGGAGACGGGAGACAGGCAGAAAAGTTACATGCTCGGTACCTGGTGATAGCACTTGTAAGCACATGTCCAGTTCACGGCCACGCATCTTTGCGCCAGGCAACAAAGCTTTTCTCAGGCCATGCGAGCAACGAACAGCAACCTCCTCTGCCCTTCCTAACCAAACAAGGGCGGGAGTCCCCCCATGTCATCAAAGGGGTCTTGCGCGCGTTTGGCCACCAGGCTCGCAATGAGCTCTGCGCAAGCCACGTACCCGTTTTCCCTGGCCAGCCCCATCGCTCGCTCGCACATGGTGTCGTCAAAGCAGCCGTTCCCAAATTCCCACAGCAGCTCGACCATGTTTGTCCTGCCGTGCTCCGCCGCGCCCTCGAGCGGCGAGCGGCCCTCGATCAGCGAGGGGCTGGCCTGCAGGTCCGCCCCAGCCTCGAGCAGCTCGCCCGCGATGGCGCAGTTGCCCGAGATGGCCGCCAGCTGTAGCGCCGTGCCCCCTGCCCGCACCGGCGCGGGGGCGTTCACGTCGGCGCCCCGGTCAAGAAGCATGCGCACCACGCGCGGCAGTCCCAGCTCTGCCGCCTTTTGCAGAGGCGTCCAGCGCAGGCCGAGGTCGGCCGCCTTGTTGGCCGTGGCGCCGTGGTTCAGCATGAGCTCGACCAGGTCTTCGTCTTCGCTCTCGATCGCCATCAGAAGCGCCGTGCGGGCCATGAGATCGGATTCGTCAACGTAGACGACCATGTCTGGGTCGCAACCGATCTTGAGCAGGTAGGTTACGATGGGGAATTCGACACCTTCAGCCTCGCCATCGTCGTCCTCGCCATCGTCGCCCTCGCTATCGTCGTAGTACCCGTGTGCCGTGCCGATCGCCACCCCGAAAAAGTTTGACATGCCACGCCAGTGTTTCAAGCCCGGCGCGTGGTAATATGCTAGCATCGTCGGCATGTGCACAATTCCTGATTCGAGTAGGTGGGTGAGTGCTTTTAGCCCTGCTGGCCCTTGCATGATAGCCTCGTCTATGGCTTTGATGCCGGCAGGCTGGTGGCGATCCATAGACTTGGATAGATATGTCAGAACAGCCTTGGGGACTTTGCCGAGGAGGAGAGGCAAAGCTTCTGGGTAGTTGCGCGTGGCAGCAAGCAGGATGCCGTCGTCAACCGGGTTGGCCCCCAGGTCAATAGAAATCTCCATCAAACTGTCGTCTCGGTGCCAGATTGCTGCCTTGAGGTGTTTGGTGAGGCCGCGCGGCCCAACCACCCCGTGTTCGACCAGAAACGTCAACATGTCGCCGTCAACCCGGCTTGGGCTCACCTCGTAGGATTCTTCGTCCGTAGACGTGGTTGGAAAAGCTTGCTTTGCCTTGAGGATGAGTTCTCTGTCTCCCCACGCAATCAGCTCCTGCCACAATGCTGTAAAAACCACCTTTCCGTCCACAGTCCGTTGTGCTTCCGAGTTGAAGTCTGCTCGGAAGCTTCCAAGATCCAGAATCTTGTCGGTAAGGCGTCGGTTGCGCCGAAACACAGCCGCGAAGAGGGGACTTCGGCCTCTGCCGTCCCTGCTGTACGGCAAGAATTGTGATCCGGCGCTCGCCTCGGCCTGGATCAGTTCCAGGCTCGCGCCGTCGTGCCCGCCGTCGATCGCGCAGCGGAGCGCTTTGTATATGTCGGCGGCGAGCTTGGGATGCTTGGATCCGAGCATCTTGCAAACGTATTCATTGTTGCCACAAGAGGCTGCGGCAATGATGGCAAGGCTGAAGTGGGTAGGCTGCTCTAGGCTGTCTGGCGAGCCGCCGCTCTCGCAGATGCGAATGGACTCTTCGTTCCGCGAGTATATAGCCTCGGCTAGCGGAGTTGTCAGGGTATTGAGGTTTCTTTCGATCCGCGCCGGTGGTGCATCGAATTTTGGCTCTTTTTGCAGCACCAGCTGGACAACATCCATGCTGCCGGCCCTGAAAGCAGCACTGAGGACAGCAGAAAGTGACAGCGCCCGTGACAGGAGTAAGCTTGTCAGTTTAGGTCGTCCCATCTTTGCGCTTTCAACGAGCGCCCAATGGAACTCCTCTTGATGTTTACTATGGCATATTGAGCTATGAGTAACGTCGCAGATTCGGGAAATGTGTCTGACTACTTTCAGAGCTTCTTCTTCGTCTAGCGTCTTGACCAGGCCCGGCACGATTCCTCCCGCGACGAGACTCTCGTGTTGCTCTGAAGGTAGTCTGAGTATGAGCTTGGAAGCCAGGTCCGAGCCGTGCATTTCTCTCACAAGATATTGAAGTGATTCTAGAGGCACTGGGTAACCCTTTTCCACGAGGAGCAGTGCGATCCGCTCCGTGTCGGGGCTAATGGTTGTTCTCTTGGGCAGGTTCGCGACAAGGCAAGCGATGGGACCGGCGCCGTACACCAGCCCACCAGTGATGTCCCGTAGCTCCCAGATAGATTTCTCTCTCGCCTTGCGTGCGGCCAAAACGGCCTTGACGAGCGAGAGGTTTTGCAAAGCAGCGGCTCTTTCAAGTAGCGAGTGTTTTTGCCTCCTCCCACCCCCATAGCAGACGAGTTTGTCGGCATCGACCGTGCCAGTCTGCAAAATCTGCCTCACTGCCTCGACATGCTGGGCCTCCACGGCTGCTTTAAGGAGGCTTTCCGCAATGGCCTTGCTGTAGTGGTCCCTGGCGCCGCGGAATAGCCGCAGAAGTAAGGCGCTGCCGCCGGTTGGCCGACTGAGGAAGCGGACGACGCCAGCAATGTCCACATCATCTAGGCCGGCAAGTCCGTTGGCGGCCGAGAAGATCAACCGCCGGAACATAGCGACTCCCTCGGCGCCTCCATCGCCCATCATAATTAGTCGCGCCTCCGGTAGGAGCGAGCGCAGCGGCCCGGCAAGATCCTCCCCACCAACCTCCTGAACCGGAGGCGAGGTGTCCCTGAAGCTCCAGGGACCAGATAGCTCCGGCTGGGAAACACCACCAGCGATGACAGTATTCCCAAGTGGATTTTGCCAGCGGGGAGGAGTAACCGTATTGGTCTGGAACCGCCGCTCCACGGTGCTGAACAGACCCGAAAGCTTCTGTGCGAGGAGTTCCATAGCCGACTGGAACGAGCTGGGGTCGCTGGGCAAAAAGTCGAACATGGGGCTGTCGTGAGAAGCCCAATCGAGGCTGATGCGCCCGAAAAGCGTGGGTGTTGTGAGCCACGGTGGTGTCCCTAGCCTCCGACGAGGGCTGAGGGCCATAGACCCTGCTAGAATCTGCGGTGACGCTTGCGGAGAGAGAAGGAACCTATCGCTGACTTCCCATCGCTGGGGTGATGGAGGGTGTTGGGGTAAGGTGAGTTCGGCGTCGTCCACGTTGATCAAGCGTTGGTCGACGCTAGACCACAGCGCTTCAACGGCTGCTGTCACCAGGCCGGGTCCCGGTATCTCTGCGGGCAGGTCCACAAGCCCAATATCCTCTACCGAAATGCTTCGGTGAAGCGGATTGGGGTGACCCCGAGGAGGCGTGCCGTGGTCTAGGCCTCGCGGAATGCTTGCACGCCGGCCTGATTCTTGACCATGGGCTCCTCGAGGCAGTAGCTGCCAGTCCCCATCTGCACTTCGCACATGGAAGGATATCGCATCGGGTAAAAATGGCCTTGAGCTGTTTCCCACCCCAGTTGACGCGTCAGGCTGATACAAGCGGCGGTTCCTCTTAAGCTGCGTCGCGGACAGTGGGTTCCCATGGACGAGGATGCGAACCTGCGCGTGGTGGGAGGCGAGCCGGTCGTACTCCGCAATCACCGCCTGCCACTCTCCGCGCTTCAAGTTCTTCTGTCGCAGACCCCATAGCTTCAAGTGATAATCGTACTGTGCCGGCCTGACTAGAGGTCAGCGGAACTGTAAAGAAAACAGCGCACCCCGGTGCAGCATAAACCAAGACTCACGTGGCATCAAGCTGGTGATCCTCCTTCATTCTTTTGCATACCTCCTTGACAGAGTGCTCGGCAGCCAGCTGCAAAATGGTCGCCTTGTGCTCCTGCCATAGCTGCGCGTTTCTGGTTAGTTGCTGGGGCGGCATCTCGAAGTTCTGTATCAATGAAGGGAGCCGCGTGAAAGTTTTGTCATATGTTCAACGTACTCTACTATAGAGTAAAACCAGGGCAAGCAGCATACAAGCGAGCATCACCAGCCCAGCATATACGTATTTTATTCTCGTTTACCCCGCAACCGCCCGGCCCCCCTCAGGCAACCAGTTCGCAACAGCCGCCTGGCTGCCTTCATGCAGGCGCGACCAAACTGACCACACAGCGGGCTAATTGCTGGTATCACAAGCCCACTTCGAGCTGATTGGCCGTACTGCCAGCTACCGTACCAGCCCGAAGAGGCAGGGGTTTGGCGTATGGCTGGAAGGTCGAAGCGATTGTGAGAGAGGCATACAAAAAAAAAGAGGGAAAGAGGGAGAGAGCGTGAAAAGATCAATCTGGATAGCCCGTTCCACTGCAACAACCAGCGGATTACTTAAACCATGCACGAAGTTGGAGCCGGGCTCTTTTAAAGTCGGCTAAGACACGGCATTTCAAAAAATGGAGGCACTGGAAGAAGATATGTCGTCAAAACAAGATCTCGACGTGGGTCGCGTCGGTTCGCTTGAACCGCCCCTCGCAGTCTGGTTTGCGGCGAACTACAATCCCTGGCACTGAAAGCTCTGGGTGTGCGGCCCTCGGCGAAGCGCAGTACTAGGCCCTTCCAGGCCGAGGCCAGTAGGGCCGCCAATCAAATAGTATTGCTGAATTTGACCTTGAATTGCTAACCAATGACGTCCGCGCTAGCGACTTTTGTATCCCCCGGCATGTCCAGTCGGGCGAGATAGCCGGAAAGGTGCATGTGCAATGTATTCTGAATTTGTTCTGAATTTGTTCATCTGCCCAACACGACACCGGGGGGACTTTAGACCACCACTTTCTTGCGTGGTGTTCAAAGTATCTAATTCTTAGACATGGCGGCAAGGGAATTGGTATAAAGCCCGCTGGATCAGAAGCCCTTTTGGGGATTCAAGAGGACATCGGCAAGGCACTCGTCCCTTATACCCCAAACAGCTCAGATAGAAGATCGAAGCCTTTTTCACAGCTAGTTTCCTCTCCAAAGCATATCTCGTTCGTTCTCATCATTATGAGCTCCCACAACTTTCAGCATCAGGGGCTGGAGGAGTCCGTAGAGCAGCGGGACAGTCACACCAACCTCGGGCCGCAGACCCCAGAGGTTTCGCCGTACGCCCAAGCCTATGCGTACACACAGTTGGATGGCTGGCCCGCTCCCTAGTCCGATCCTCCTGTGGCTCCCCTTCACTCGAACCCGGACGGAGGCCAGCCAGGGCATCATTCCCGATCCACTCGCACTGCTGACGGGGACGCCGGCCCCGGCTCATCCAAGGAGAAGACCAAAAAGAAGCCCCGGAGGCGCGCGAACCTTGCCGAGATTGCCGCTGCCGCCGCTGCCAAAAGCTCCTCCGGCAGCCACGCAGGCACGACCCCCGCCCTCAGCATGTGGCTGGACCAAGACATGTCCGAGGAGCCCTACAACACGCTCGAGCCCGACAGTCACTACTCCCGGACCGGCAGCGAACCCGAAGTCACGGCTATGGCCGTTGAGCAGTCTGACGAGCACAGCGCCGCGGCTGCGACCATCGGGGAATGGGATGCCAGTGAGCGGGAGTATACCCATGCTCATATGTAGCGTCACCAGGTTGTGGAGGCTCGCCTCTCGCTAGTGAGGATGGCCTCCTTTTTCAGGGAAATGACAGTGATAGAATGAGAACGCAAATCAGTGTGTGGAAAGGGCAGACAATGCACGCGAGGGGAGGTTTCTTGAGGACATGGTGGAGTGTAGATCTCGAGTCGATATTATAAATTATTTCCAGAGTTCGTCGCACGCGAGGACCTTGTTTACCTGTTTGTATATGCTGTTGGCCGTCGTAGCCCTTCTTGGCCTGGATGGTGTGGACCACCGCCTGCTCGCCCTGCCCATAGAGCTTGGGGTCGCGCCGCGAGCCGCTGAGCTTCTTGGAGTGGTGGTCAACCATGGCCGTGGTCTCTTCGGCCTGCCCCAGATCGATTCTGAGGCCGAAACAACACGCAGGCTCCCGTTACTACAACGCTGCACTGGCCGGCCCCACTGGAATGGTTGCGACCTTGGTGGTAATGCTGAAAGAGAGAGGTAAGGTATTGTGGTTGGGGTGTTTTGGGGGGAAAAGGGCAGCAGGGGTGCTTGGGGAGAAAAAGGGCGGCGGGTGTAACACGAGCATGGATAGGTGGTGATAGTGTGTGTAAGGGACAAAAAAATATATCCAAAGCATAAGGCGTAACAACCTGGTAGTGATCCATAGCATGGTGGGTCGGTATGTACCTGGGTACCTGGTGCTAGCGCTAATTGTGGGGCCCCTTGTCCATTGCTGCTGAATTGGATCGAGTTTGGCGTCGGAGCTGCAACGGAGCAAGCTTCACTCTCAACTCTACCCATCCCATGCCCACTGCTGCCGGCGCCGGAGCCCACGTCTGCATGCATCGACACACCCTCACTCCCAGGTAGCCTCTCGGGAACATGGCGGCGAACAGCGAGACCCCAAATAGGGAGGCGACCCCCTCCGCGCCGGCGCCAGGAGCGGCCGCGTCGCCTTCGGCCCGCGCCGGGACTCCCCCCGCGTCCTCCATCCCGCAGAAGCGCGCCATGGTCGAGGACGATCACGCCCCGGCCGTGCGTTCACCGCTGAACCCGGACGCCGCCCGCACCCAGGCCACCGCGACGCGCGCGCAGTCGCAGACCCGCGACGAGTCGCCCGTGCTGGCCCGCGAGAAGCGCACAAAGAAGGAGTCGCTCAAGAAGCGCGAGGCAAAGGCCAGCGCTGCTGGCGTCTCCTCGGGCGGCGACAGTGCCAGGGCCACGCCGGACCCGAAGCTGAAGGACCAGCAGCCCGACCACCCCAAAGCCTCACCGATGCGATACAAGCCCAGCGGCCCGCTCAAGCGCTCCGACTTTGAGCCCAGCCGCGATCCCGTCCTCATCAGCCACCACAAGATCCCCGGGCTGGACGGCGAAGAGATTGAATTCTTCGACACCTCTGAGCAGTGAGTCGCCCTCCAGGGCTGTCCACATGGTCTTCCAGACTCTCCCTCTGTGTGATACCTGGGTCACTAACGCAACAGCTGCTGCGCTTCCTCGTAATAGGGCACTCAATAGGAAAAACTACGTCTACAACTACTGCATCGCCGACCCTCGCTTCCCCTCATCACGTTACTACCGCCAGACCGAGCCACCGCCGTACACGGCACACCTCTCGCTTGAAGATGCACCTCAGGGCGTCTTCTTCGACCGCGAGGCCCGGCACATAACAGGCGAGCAAGGCTTCCGCATGGCGCGCGCCAACGTCGCCGTGCGCGAGGGCCGCTGGTACTGGGAGTGCAAGGTGGTCCGCGGCGTCCTCCCGCCGCAGCCGGCCGGTGCCGACGACACCAATGGTGACACCAAGGCGGCTGCCGCCCCGACGTCTCGTGGCCACGTGCGCATGGGCTGGGCGCGGAGGGAGGCGTCGCGGGATGCCCCCGTCGGCCTCGATGCATACAGCTACGGCCTCCGCGACGTCGGGGGTCAGAAGGTGCACATGTCGCGGCCGCGCGACTTCTTCCCCGCGGGCGAGGACGTGCGTGAGGGCGACGTCATAGGTCTCGAGATCTCGTTGCCGTCCGAGCAGCTGCACCGAAAGGTGGTACTAGGCCACTACAACCCCGTCGTCGATGTAGACCACCACCTGCCTGGAGGCGACGAGGCCACCGAGGGTGCCAACATCGTACGCGACCGCGTGCCGTTCCGCGGCAAGACGCACATGATCTACTTTGAAAAGTTCGACTACCACCCGACCAAGGAGCTCGAGGACCTGATGAACCCCTCGCCCATGGCGGCCGCGGCGGCGCACGGCAGCCACCTGTCGGAGAAGCCGAACCCGAACCACCCCGTCACCTGCCTGCGCACCCTCCCGGGCTCCTACGTCAAGATATACAAGAACGGCGTGCCCATGGGCACCGCCTTTGAGGACCTGCTCAGCTTCCTGCCGCCGGCCTCGACGCCGAACGCGAAGCTCCAGGAGGGCGCGCGCGAGGGCTTCGACGACGGCACCCTGGGCTACTACCCGGCCGTCAGCGTCTTCCGGGGCGGCGCCGCCGAGGTCAACTTTGGCCCGGACTTTTGGTACCCGCCCCCGGGGTTCCGCGCCGAGGCCCCCCCGCCGGACGGCGACGTGGACATGGTCGACGCGGACGGCACCGGCGCGCAGGAAACCCCCGCCGCCCCGTCGGTGAAGCTACGCCCCATGGCGGACCGGTTCGACGAGCAGATCGTCGAGGACGTGCTCTACGATATTGTGGACGAGGTCGACTTTTGGATGCAGGACGGAGGAAAGGTGGTGGACAAGGCCGTCTCGGACGCCGAGGGGCGGGATCCCATGCAGGAGGACTAGAACGGGGCCGTTTCTTGCATGTGGCCGCGTCGGGTGTGAGCGGCGTTTGAGAGGTGAGAAGACGATAAAAAGAAAATACCCACGCTGGGCGATCCCGAGCATGTCTCTGCTTGTCCTTTGCGCTCAGATAGCCGCCATGTAGATCACATATTACAAATCAAAAGAAACAGCCATCAACTCCATGCTGTGCGTATGCTATTATCGTGTCCTTCGTCAAGGCGGGCTGCCACCAGTTTTCTACATGAAAAAGGAAATATTATGTGCAGCCGCAGATTGCAATTCATTATCCTGGCCAACGCAAAAAGACGGCGCGGGTTCAACCTCGAGGCCGAAACACTACTTCGACGTCCTTTTGGTGGCAGCAACAGCACCGGGCGCGGAGGCCGAGCCGCTGGCCTCGGCGCGAGGGGCCGGCAGCTGCGGGTCGTCGGGGAGCTCCTCGATCCTGTCGCCGGCCTCGGTGGTGCGCTCGCCCTCGAGCCTGACCTCGCGGCCGCGCTTATGGCAGTACCACAGGACGAACAGGAGGACTGTGGAAGGAAGTGGTGAGGAAGTTAGTATTTTTATACCTTTTTTTTTCATTCATCTTGTAACCAAAAAAAAGAATTACTCACGGAAAATGGCGACACTCCAAAGGACGTTGGTGCCGATAAATGCCGGCCAGCGCAGCTTGAGCGCGTTCATGATGGCCTTGAGCATGCCGACGATGGCGCTCGGCTTGGTGATGAGCTCCTGCAGGTTTCCGGGCATGAGCAGGCGCATGGCCGTGTCCTTGAGCCCACCCTTTGAGTTGTCGTCGTGCTTGAGCCCCTGCGACTCGGCCGCGGCGCGCACGAGCTCGGGCGCCATTGTCGCCGTGACCTTGTCCGGCAGGGTCTCGACGAGCTTGCGCAGCGACGCGGGCAGGCGGTCAAAGTTCTTTGCCAGGTGGCCGTCCGGGTCCTCGACGAGCAGCTTGAGGTCGTTGGCGGCCGTCGGCACGCCGTTGACGAGGTCCTTGAGCACGAGGGTGAACTTGCCCACCAGCTCGGCGCTCTGGGGCGAGAGCGAGAAGGCGCGGTTGTTCTGCGCCGACAGGTTCAGGTCATTGAGCACGCGCGTCAGGTCGTCGCGCTCGCGCTCCGCCTCGGCCTCGGGCACGCTCAGGTTGGGGTTTGGCTTCACTTCGGGCTTCTTGTTGCTGTTGCCGGGCCGCCGCACCAGCACCGAGATGCGCCGCCCGATGCGGTCCGTGAACTTGCCACTGCCGGCCCCGGGCTTTTCGGCCAAGGCCAGCTCGCCGCCCACCTTGCCCTTGCCCTTGCCCATGAAGGAGTCGGCGTCGCTGTCCCAGCCGATCTCGGGCGTCTTGATGCGCGGCGGTAGGGGCGGCCGCGGGCCCTCGTCGTCGTCGTCGTGGGCGCCGTCTAGCCGCCGGGCCGAGGGCGGGCGCGAGCCCGACGTCAACAGCCTCAGGAACCGCTCGTCCTCGTCCTTGAGCAGCGGCTCGACCATCGTGTGTTGCGCCTCCGACGGGCTGGCAGGGCCCGGCTCCACGACGCGCGGCACGCCGGGGGTGGCCGGGGCGCTGGAGCCAGAGGCGACCGCTTCATCCTTGGCGAGCCGCTGGGCCGTCTCCTGCTCCTTCTTCTCCGCCCGGTGCTTCTTGACCTTTCTGTATGCGAAGTATTCGAGCATGTCGCAATTGGCACAGGCGTTCGCTGGGGGAGGTTGTGTGGTTGGAGCTGGTGCGAGCTCGCGTGATCCTTTGAGGAGAGTTTGTGCTTGACTGATGTTTTGGCTATTGCGAAACTTCTAGACAGCAGTCTGGAGGCGGGCGGTGGTTTAAGAGACACCTGCGATTGCCCGAGCTCAACCGAGGCAGCCAGGGAGGTGGGCTGAAGTCGCAAGGTGGACCTGACAAACGAAGATACCAGCCGCAGTGGGCGCCTCAATGCACAGGTCACGCCCGACACGTGTCGCACTTCCAGGTTCCCTGATTTCTCCAGAGTTGTTGAGGCAGCCAGCCCAGTGCCGGATGGTGGCAACTGAGCCCAGCCACTCGTGACATCATGCACCGTCACATGCAGCTGCAGGGTCCCAGTTGGGTGGAATTATGCACGCCAAGCCACCATCTGGACGGGCAATTGTGGGGGAACCAAGTGCCGCGCTGAGATGTGCGCCGCCGACAAGTGCTGGGGGAGAATGAAACTGCCAGAGCCATGTGAATGTCGTGTGGTATGCCCACCGACGGTCTTGGTAAAACTAGCTGTTGGGTATCATCTTCTCCATGACGAGCATAAAGACTACAAAACGTTTCATCAAACAAAACAGGTGGCCCAACCAAGATAAACGCCAGGCCGCTCAAGTGCTTATGTAGGCAAAACTAAACAAAGACAGGACCCTGTCTTATCCGTCCTCCTCTTCCTCGTCATCTTCGGCCTCCTCGGCGATGGGCCCCACCGTCTCGCTCCTCCTCGCACCGACGCCCCTGCCGTTGCTCTGGCGGGAGGCCACCAACGCCGTGACGGCCCTCTCTCCGACAAAGTGCTCCCCATCCCACTGCGAGCGGCACTTGGGGCAGGCGCGGTCTCTCCTTGACCGCCAAAAGGCCTCCTCGCAGATGTCGTGCAGGCGCACGTTGCACTCGGGGCGCGCGCACCGCTGGCCGATCGTGACGACGTCCTTGCAGGCCTCACAGTGCTTGATGCGCTGCCACTCGTTGCCCTCGGCGTCCGGGTCGTTGTACGTCTCGTTCATCCACGCCCACAGCTCCATGAGCGCGCGCGGCGTGAGGCCGTAGTAGCCCGCCCGGCTCTTCTCCAACCAGCCCTCGGCCACGAGCGACGCCAGCAGCGCGAGCACCTCGCTGTGTCTGAGGCCCTTGTTCGTGGCCTGCGACGCCGGCCCCTCGCCGTTGTCGGTGCCGAGGCTGACGCGGCCGTTGCGCGGCGGCGAAGGGCGCGACAGCTTCAGGGCCTGGTCCTCGGTGAGGCACATGAGCTCGAGGCGCGGCTTGTTGTATGTGTCGAATATGGCGTCCAGTAGGCGCTTCACGAACGAGATCTCGTCGGCGGTGTGGGTGGTCGCCAGCTGGGTGCTCGGGTCGCTCGTCACGTTGACAAAGGCCCACACGGGCTCCTTCGTCCTTTGATGGCGCAGTTTGCGGATGTCGAAATCAAGCGGCGATACGGCCTCGCGGGCCAGGCGCGCAAACTTTTCCACGTCCTCGGCCAGCAGCTCATCCGAGGCGATGGGGTCCGGGTTGTCGTGTATCTGGTTGAGGATGCTCGCCAGCACGGGGCGGGCCTCGTCGAGCGTCATGCTGCCCCGCGCCATTAGCGCCTGCAAAAAGGCGCGATGCGCGTCCTGCCATTCGGGCGGTACTGGCGGTTCCCACGACATGTCTCTAGCGCCGTCGGCAGCGGCTCCGACTGGCGAGTGTGGGAGCAGGTGGTGGATGGTGGACGGTGGACGTCGGCCGTCGTGGTCGCGGGCGGGCGGTCCCTTGCCCGACAATGGCTGGCGGGCGTGAGTGTGCTTTACGCGTCTCGGTGAGTGCATCGGGCGAGCTGATTGGACTTGAGACGCGTCCGTGCTTGGCAAGGCTGGTTTGGTGGGGAGCGGCACGGCAGGCATGGGGCGCAAGCACGCACGGCTCGCTTCAGGCACCCGCTCCTTCTCCCGTCCAGGCACACACCCTGGAGCGGAGGGAGGGGCTATAACCTCAACTGCCCGTGGTGTCGTGCATGAGCCCCACATATCCTCTTGTCTCCTTTGCTTCGTTTCCATCAGGAATAGAACGAAAACTGCTGGGGGGAGCGATCGTCAGGAACATGGCGCCCAACATGACCAGATGGCGTATCTTCCGCCTTATTTTCTCCAAGGCACTGCCCTGCCAGATGCGTGCTGCCGACGCCGACGCGCTGGGCTGACAAACTATAACATGATGTCCGAGTTCCTGTTACGCACATAGAGATCGCCACGAGACACGAATCGTGGTCATGAACCCGTCGCGACACCCGTACCAGAGTCTGCACCTCCCCAGGGTCAAGATGTAGGCGAGAATCGGAATCCACACGGTCCGAACATCTCCCTTCTGTTTCTCTCCTAATCTCCGTCACCTGGCTCCCCTTGTGTTTCCTCCAGTGTCCTGTTTCTCTCTTTTGCTGTGGTCTACAACTGCCGGCTTCTATTCCAGGAGCTGTCTCTCGCGGCATTATTTCTTTGATTGGTATTGTTCGGTCACTCCTACTCTAGTACGTAAGACTGACCTCATTTGCCATCGCACCCCAGCACCTTCGAAAAACTTTAACTCTAGCTATCTACCTCTTCAGGCGCAATGGCCGGCGAGCTGGCCCGTGCTGGCCCGGTGGCAATCTGGGAGCAGCGACGGCATCGTCGCACAGGCGACACAGGAGCGTGGGAAAATCGCCAGTTCGGTGGATTGCCCCTTTCTATCTTGGTTTCAGCTTGTTCTGTCGCTAAAAACCAGAGGACACGACTCGGGATGCCCCACCAGCCGTCTCGATGGCCCCCAGCTCGTAAACAGGAAAATGTGGTTCCCACTACGCCTTCCAAACCCTTCTCGCAAGCGCTTGGCTTTCGCCGTCGTTGCTTGGCACGGCGGAGGGACCGACCGAAGGGGCGTCGAAGAATCCCTTGTCTCCATTTCTTCCTAGTAGAGTATACCATTTCCATCGTCGCTTGTGGCTCGTTTCGCTTCTTGAGATCCGAGCCATCCCTGCCTCGTGGCCGAGGCCCATAGATACACTGCGACGATCCAATCGGCCGGTCGAGCCCGTGGAGTTGTTGAAGGGTCTTCCTGGTCGTGGCTCCGGGGCGCATGCTAGCGTCTTTCCAATTTGTGTCCGCGGAGCAGCACGACGTCCAGGATGGGCCGCCCATTTGTTTGCGCGATCCCCTGGCGCCGGGGGACGTCTCGCACCGAAAGGACGGTTCCTGACAGCGGGAATAAGCAAGAAGAAAGGCTGCGGAGCGTCACCGAGATATCTCCTCTTTGGATGCAACGCCCCACAACCCACCAGCGTGGATCGACAGGGCGCAGCCGCGCATTGGCACCCTAAATATGCCCGACTCCCCCTGCGTCTCTTTCCCTGCACGCATTGCTCTCGCATCGCAACGGCCGGCTGTCAAAACCAGGCCGATATTCCATTTCTCTGCCGAGTCCCACCTGGCCTGCCCTCCCGACTTTCGAATCCGCTCTCTTCAGCCCTCGACGACGACCTGCCCTCTACTACCAACCCCCAACCATGGCCAGGCTCTGGCGGAATAGGTGATGATATGTCACTTGACTCAACGAAGGAGCGCAAATGGCCGTTCAAATCGACCAGGGGATCCTCGGGGTCGCGGTGGGCGTCCTGGTCTATAGCTTCATCTGCCTCTCTGCCGGTCTTCTCATGATAGTCCTGGTATGGGCCCGGCAGGAGCGCACGAGCTGTAAGTTGAATACCAAAGCATGTGCCCGAGACATCCTGCCCAGGCCGCTGACAGTACTTATCCTTATAGATGTTGCTTGTCTATCATTTCTCACCTCCATATCCACCACGGCCTCCATCATCCAGCAGTTCCACACCATAGTGGACTGGGAGAATATTGCCATGGCCAAGTTTGACCGCGTCCTCGCCGATCCCCGGAACCCAGAACTGTCCATTTCTGGAGCATCTGTAGGCGTTGATCTTGTACTTTTTTATATCCGTATGTCTCCCTTCCCCTAGTCTTCCGACTTCACATATCGTCGAATCTAACCCAGATCCCCAGAGTACTACTCGTATAATGCAATGGCAATGATGACTCTCTTCTGGTATTTCCTCTCCTCCGTTCCCTGTCCTAATCATATATAGTCATCCTGGCTAACAAGGACCAGGGCCTTCGAGTTGGCTGCTTCTGTCTTCAAATGGACGGATCTGAGAGGGAAGCGTAGCAGTCTGATTTGCAAGACAACTGCCTTCCTACTTCCTGCGTTGCAGATGGGTATCTTGCGACTCCGTGCCACTCAAAAAATCGAGGCACTTTTCTACATTATCGCCAACATCATCAGTAAGTCTCACTGCGCCATCCCGGCTCCAGCCATGTGCCTTGGTGGGGTGCTTCGGAGCTGACAGACGGCACCTTTCCACAGTGGCCATCTCTCTATCGTCTGGGGCAGTTCTCCTCATGTTGATACTGTTCAAGTATATCCGCGTGCGGATGGCTTTCATGTCCTGGCACGTGGGCTATGGTGAAGCCTCCTCACCCACGTCACAAGCAACGGACCTCAGCCGCTCGCTCCCCGTCACGGTTGCGCCGCGCCAGAGCATCCACGACAACTGGCTTATGGTCAGATTCACCATAGCATTTGTTGCACTTGCGTAAGCTACCTCTGGCTCAACAAACCACCCTTGTTTAACGTCAGTATAGCTAACTTTATGGACAGCATTTTCGAAGTGCTCACTATTCACTTTGAGACGGTCACCTCTGCAGCCAACGCCAACATAGCGGCTGGCACACCCGATTTGAGCGCCGACGCACTCAAACAGGTCGTCCTCCTCTTCATGCCCGGCGTATCGGCCAGCTTGCTCGTGTTTGTCGTGTTTGGTACTACCAAGACGCTGCGCGAGTACATGTGGGCCAAGGTGGTGCCACGCCGCATCCGCGAGCAAAGAGAGGCCGCCCGTGCCAACAGATTACCGTCGGTCGTCTTCCCGCGCGGCGTAGACGGCGGCTTCGTCGCCGACCAGCACCAGATGGCGCTGCTGGACTCCCACCAGAGGAGGGACAGCAACGACCGCAGCGACAACGGCTACGGATACGACCAAGAAACCAACACGGGGGGCGGCTATCCGCACCTGCCGCCCATCACCTCGGGCGGAGATCTGAGCGACGTGGAGCGTGCCATCACAAAGAGCGGCAGGACGAGCACCAGAATCACCAAGCCGCCCTCGGTTATTGTCCCTGGTGGACGCCCGACCCGGGGCTCGCGAAGAGGAAGCAAGCGATGATTTCTTTTATCCTACATTTGATAACTCGTCTTCTCTCTTGTCTTTATAAATGATGACACGTGATAGGGTGTTGGGGGACTGGAGTTGGCGGGATATGATACCAAATTTGCCTGAATTTTTACTGTATGATGGAGGCCATGCGCCGAGGGATAACGGGTTTCGGAGGGGAAAATATGTATGATTATGTGTATGATTCTAGCGAGGAGCAAAGGGATGTGCACAATTTTGATATGTTAGCTTTTAGTTTTTGATGCACACCTAACGAGGTGTCGTGGGAGGAAATCGCCTCAGGATCATTCAGCGTCGCCTGCCTTACCGTCGTGGAAGCGCTCCCAAAATTCTTGGTCATCTGTACTCCCTGCCGTGGATCGGGTCGCCCTCCCCTCCGGCCGTTGCGTGGAGACCACATTGGCGCGGGTGTGCACCTCTTGGAGGCCGCGACGGCAAGGTCTACAACCACTGACCACAAGACCACTCACCGAGGAGGGAAACGGCTGTTGGCAAACATACACTAGAGAAAACGAAAGCAGGTGAGACGAAGGCCGAGCGTTTCTGTTGGAACTTGGTTGGCCTAGACGACCACACCGAGGCTGGGCAGCCGGCCACTGTGATCAGCCCCTGGAAACGTCAATAGGTCTGGTCGTTGGGCCATGCATTCAGAGAATATTGAGTCGCGGCCACCATGGAATTCAATATAAATGGATGGCGACGGGACCATGGGGAAGAGTCGCGAGATAGCTGGACAGGCAGATGTCCTTCTCCCTCAACACGCAGACGTAAAAAAAGACATTGCAGGCTACAAAATATACGTCCCACCACATCATAAACGGGGTCCGCCATGTACTCCAAAGCGATACCTGAAATGGAGGAGGACGGCGGCCTACGCCTCCTCGAGTCCGCACAAATCGCGTCTAGCTTCCTTGTCAGAGGTGAAACTTGCACGTAGCGCAACTATCATCGTCAAGGCCGTGGTCAGGCTGATCTGTCTCGTTATTTTGAAAAGACTTGGAGACGACCTGATGGAAGCGTGGTCGTAAACAGACGACGGGGTGGCAAATTGGGATTCTGGATTTGTTTGACTTTTGGGGCGTGGGATTCGGTTCGCACACACTAGACATGATCAACTAGACTTTGCACTTCCTAGATAGATACGACAACTCGTTCCTTTCTCCTTTTCCCAGCCGTCTAGGCGACCTTCTTCGCCGTTCCCGTTTCTGCCTCCCTGCGCTTCAGCTCCCACTCCATGGCCGCCGCGACGACCGCATCATGATCCGAGGCGGGCTCGAACCCGAGCCTCTCCCGGATCTTGCGGGTGCTGTACGTGTGCGAGTGCAGCGAGTACACCAGCGCCTGCCTGCTCAGGGACACGGGCGGCCTCACGCGGCCCAGCGTAAAGATGGCCAACGTCCAGTACACTATCCACACGACAGCCCGCATGACCCAGCCCGGCACCACGACGACGCGCGGCTCGCCCTTTGTGCCGTAGTGGCGCTGCGCGGCGTCGTACATGACGCGCACGTGGTGCCAGAAGGGCACGGGCCGGCCGTCCGACACGTTGAAGGCCTCGCCGTCGACGCGGCCCGACGCCCGGGACCGGTCCAGCAGCGCCTTGGCGGCCAGGCGCAGGGCGGCGGCCGCGTTGGCCACGTCGACGACCTCGATGGCGTTGCCGCCCGCGCCGATCTGCACGAACGGCACGCCCGGGCGCGCCGCGGTCCCGAGCATGGTCCGCACCATCTGCGAGTCGCGCTCGCCGTAGGCGTGCGCCAGCACCAGGGACGCCGTCTTCAGAGGCGGGCGGCCAGAGGCGGAGGAGGAGAGGGAGTCGGGCTCGTTGGCGGCGAGGACCAGCTTGTGGGCGGCGGCCTTGCTGCGCGCGTAGGCTTCCTCGGGCGGGCCGGGACCGTCGTCCACGTCGGCCCAGGTCGGCAGAGACTCGTCGCCGTCGACGTGGGGCGGGTTGCGGTACATGTCGATGGTGGCGGCGAGCACGAGGGCGGCAACGGAGCCGCAGCGGCGCGCCTCGTCCAGCAGCACGCGCGTGCCGTCGACGTTGCTCTCGAGCTGGTCCGCCGCCGCGCCGCGGCCGCGCGCGCGCCCAGCCTCGTCCGGGAACGAGAAGTTGGGCGACGAGCAGTGGAAGACGACGCGCGGGCGCGCCGAGGACAGCAGCGCGCGCACCCCGGCCGCGTCCTCGACGCTACAGGCGTGGTAGGTCGCGCCGGCGTGGTGGTTGGCCGACGACGACGACCCGGCGGCAACGCGGTCCAGCACGTGCACGGCGCCGCACTCGGGGTCGGCCAGGAGCTGCCCGACCAGGTGGTAGCCGAGGAAGCCGCTGCCGCCCGTCACCAGCACGTCTCCGAGGAGAGGGCCTCCGCCGGCCTGGTCGTCGGACGGATTAGGGGTGATGTGGGCCATGCTTTATGTATTGTTCTTCAGGGTTCGTTCACGGTGTGAGGGAGTCAACATCGAACAAGGTTAGGAGAGGGGCTTTGGGAGTCCGGGCTCTAGGTCTGGTGGTCTAGTCTTTGGTGGAAGCGTGTGATACACGCCTCGTGCGGGGTTGCATGTTAAACTCTAATAGGGTGGGATCGGCGCAGGTGTCTAGGTAGGTAGCCCAACGTCGATGCGAGCTTAAATGCGAGGGGAATTAATCTAGGCACGGATCCGACCTTAGCGAGCTCAGGTGTAAACCAGCGCTGGCCAAGCTCAGGAGTGAGAATCCAAGCACGGCAATATGGCTCCCGACTCAATTCCAGGAGCAGATATACCAACCACGGCCGGGCCACTAGACTATAGAAGCGCAGAAGCGCGAGCACAGGAGAACCACAGCTTGGGAACACAGGATACTGTTTGGCGGTTCCGATAAGGAAGGTGACAATGGGTGATACCAAGCTGCAGGTATACAGCACCTGATACGGAGAAGTTGTTGGGCTCACCAGAATCGCCGTTGTCTGGTACCTGGGGAGAAATACCACAACGGCAAGCCCTGTACAACTGGCAAAAAAACCAGCCGGCCCAGCTTAGAATCTCGAGAGAATCTTCCTGCAAGATAAGCCATCGTAAATTGCCAAGCTATCTGCTTCACATACGGCTCAATCCTACCAAACTCCTGCGGCAGTCCATAAACAGGCCGCACCCATGGGCTGATATTGCGGGCTCTACTACTGGACCCACCACTTCGCGGGCGAGCGCCTGCGAAGTGGTACCTCTCCTTTCTGGTAGGCTACAGCAACACGCTCGGCCTGATCGGCGGCGTGTGCGGCGTCAGCTACGGGTTTGTGCTGATGTTTTGCTTTGTGTGGGATGACTGGCTGGCAAGCTTCTTTCGTTCTCCCGTCGTTTCTTTTTTTTTTCCTGGGCTAATTCAAGGGCTGACAACCCCCCTACCAAAAAAAAGTATCGTCATCGGGACCGACGGCGCCTGGACGCCGAGCAACGCCGTCTTCATGGCCACGCTGCTGGTGCACGCCACCCTGGCCTCGACGCTGTCGCGGCTCATCGGCCGCCTGCAGACGGCGACCGTGGTGCTCAACCTGGCCCTGATAGTGGCCACCGTCGTGGCGCTGCTGCTGGGCACCCGCAGCCGCGGCGGCGGCAACGACGCCAGGGTCGTCTTCGCCGAGGTCCAGAACCTCACGGGCTGGTCCCTGATCCTCGCCTTCCTGTCGCCCATCTGGACGGCTGGTGGCTACGACTCCTGTGTAGGTAGTGGGGAGACAAGAGAGTTGAGGGTGAATTTGCTGACACGACATTTGTGATGTCAGGTTCATAGTGAGTTGGCGGGAACCCCTGATGTTCGGAGGTGCATGTGTGAAAGCTCACGAGAGAAGCTGGAAATAGTGTCAGAGGAAGCATCCAACGCCGCGAGGGCTGTCCCGCTCGCCATCATGTTGTCGGTAGGGTTGAGTGGTATGTGTCGAGTTTCTTGCCCGTCACCCTACCTGCAGCGAGCTGACACCAACTTGCAAAGGACTGCTGGGCTTCGTCGTCGTCGCCGCGATCGCTGCCTGCATCACTGACGTCGAGGCTGTTCTTGCAACGCCGTTTGGCCAGCCGGTACGCCGACTATCTCTACCCCTTTTAGATGCCTACATCTACTACCAGTCCGCCCTCGGGGGGGAAGCTAAGCCAATCAAAAAAAAAAACAAAAAAAAAAAACAGATGGCGCGGGTATACTACGACGCCCTCGGCAAACAGGGCACCCTAGCCTTCATGGCCCCCCTCCTGGCCGCCCAGTTCTTCATGGGGCTAGCGGTGTTGGTCGTTGCCTCGCGCCAGGCCTGGGCTTTCTCGCGCGACGGGGCGCCGCCTTTTTCTACGTTCTTGAGGCAGGTTGTAAGTCGTTTCACCGAGGGGGGGTTCCAAAGTGTAAAAGCATGAAAAAAAAAGGTCCAGCAAACGGAGTGGGGGTAAAACCCGACCTGACACTGCATGCACGACAAAAACAGTCCAAGCGGTTCGGCTACATCCCCCTCCGCGCCATATGGGCCGTCATCCTCGCCGCCCTCCTGATGGGCCTGCTCTGCCTGATCGCGCCCGCCGCCGCCGCCGCCGCCGCCGCGCTCTTCTCGCTCGGCGTGGCGGGCCAGTACGTGGCCTTTGGCGTGCCTATCGCGGCGCGCGCCGCCGGAGGGGGCGGCGGCGACAAGTTCCGGTCGGGGGCCTTCTACACCGGGCGGCGGCTGTCGAGGCCCATCGCGGCGGTCGCGGCGGCCTTTTGCGCCATTGTGATTGTGCTCTGCATGTTCCCGCAGGCCGGGCCGGCCCCCGCCCCCGAGGGCATGAACTACACCGTCGTCGTGGGCGGCGCCGTCTGGCTGGGCGTGTCGCTGTACTATGCGGCGAGCGCGCGGAAGTGGTATCGTGGGCCGAGGGCGACGCTGCGGGTCGTGGAGGGGGCGAGGGCGGCGGCTGAGTGATGTGTGTGGTGGGTGCGGCGTTGGAGGCCTGGGGCGGTAGATTCGAATGCTGCCTGGCTTGGAAGCGGGGGAAATGTTGTGCCCGCAAATTTGGACAACGTGCGGCGCGTGGTCCAGGTGAATGGAAGGTGCACAGCATTCAATTTCTTTGCATTCAGGGGAAATCTGCCTAGAATAGTGTTGTAATGTGATGTTGCGCGTGACGGAGTTGCGTGACTGGAAATGGAAGCATGATGGTCTCGCACTGGCCTTCACACACACACACTGGACCCCGCTCAAGTCGAGAGTAGGCGCTCGTCCAGCGAGCAAGCGATCATGAGATACCTGGACTACAGGGTACCTAGAGTGGAGCAACGCGAACTACAGCTAACAGAAGAGAAATGTACAATACCTTTGGTTTTATTCTGTCGAGCTGGCATTCTGGAGCGCAAAGATATTTGTTAGCATGGTCAATTCGGGTGCAGTAGCAAGTGTGGGAGAGAGCAAAAGCGGCGTCGGAGACATCGTTCACGCAGGGGAGAACTTGTGACGCCCTGGAAGAGAGATGGGCACACGCAAACAGGGAGGCCGGTAAGGGAGAAACTAAGAAGGACGCCGAAAACGGAGACTAGGTGGCGTTACAATAACGGAATAGGCGAAGCAGCGATTGGGCGTGGCGAACGTGAGCTGAACGCGTGACTGAGCAACGGTAGACCGTGGGTGGGGGCACAGCGACCATGGAAAATCTAGGAGAACATCGGCCTTGCGATGGGAGAATTAGCATCAACGGGTTCGTAACGACAAGAGCAAATTCCAAAAGAAAAACAAAACGCTGATTGAAAAATATAGACGGGTATTGAGACATATTTACAGCGGGCAGCTGGATCCGAACAGTTCGCGCCCAGCAGGCCAGGCGTCTCAAGCCGTGACCTGCAAAAAATCCTCCACAGTATCCTTCTCCATCGTCCCGATCGGCGCAACGACGACGGCGACGACGGGAGCATGACATCGACATGATCGTTGTCGCTCTCCTCTGGCTAGCAATCCTCCCGTTTCCTGCCCCTGGGTTTTGAACGCAGCGGTTCTTCCGAGGACTTCTGCACCCTGCTGCTTCCACTATTGTTACTACTGCCCCTACAAGCCGATCCGCGGGGACGACTCCTGCAGTTTCCGGACGGGCTGAGATCTCGACGACGAAGGCGTGATGGGGGGACGAAGTGTCTGGGAAGATGCTTGCTTCGTTGGCGCTCGGCCAAGACTGTCGATGGGGAGTATTCCGAGTCCAAATCTGCGGCATGAACCAACAGGTGGCATGCGATGGCTGAATCGCGGTGGCGAAGACGTGGCGTCGCGGACAAAGATCGCGACGGCCGCAGCTCTGGGAAGAAGGAGCCGGCGCCACAGCTGGCGCGCGTGCGAATAGCTTCACTCTTTGGCGTCGGCGTGTCTGATCCGGGCGTCTTGTCTGCTCCCATGGGAGCGAGTGGCAGCTCGGACATGGCGTCCTTGCTCTTCGTCCAGTCGACAATCGTCATCTTCTCAGCCCGGTCGACGACCTGCTTTTGACGAGTGAGACGAGCCCGGCACTCGCTAGAAACAGAGCCCTCTTCGTCAGAGGTGCTCTGGGTTGAGGCGTCGTCTGGGAGGAGAGAAGGACACGATTCTTGAATGGAGAACTCATCGTCGGCTTCTGGTGACGATGAGAACAACATGGTGCAGGAGGGTCCGAGGGAGTACTCGGTCTGGTCAAAGTCGTGCTGCGATGTGATGGCGGAGTACGTGGTCATGGACCGCGGCGAGAGGGGATAGTTTTGCATGTAGGACTCATCTGGCATCGTGCCGAACTTGTCATAGTCGTCCATGTGTTCCGAAGGGTTGAGAGAGTCCACGTCGGCGCCGTCAGAGTCGGTCGAGGAAGACGACGACGATTCGTTCGAATGGTACCAGGGATGGTTTTCGGGGAGATAGGCCGCAAAGTAGCGGACGAGCGAGTCGAGGCTTCGGGTGCGGAACAGCTGGATGGCGTGCTGCCACTGGCCTGTGCCGATGAGCGAAGGGTTGGCGATGATCTCGCACGACGCTGACTGGAGGGTATCGTTGAGCTCTCGCAGGCGTTGCTGCTTCCGTTCCGACATCAGGCTGTGAAACTCGGCTGTGGAGGAGGCCGCGTGTGAAAGCTCAAAGACATCGTGGTGGAAGGCCTCGGGGTCTTGGATGGACGAGGGAATCGTGTTGTATTGGTCCTGAAGCGTCGTGACAAGGTCATCCTTCTTCAGCCCAAATTTCCAGAACGGCCATGCTGTGTCGGGATCATCCATATCCTGAGCGAGGATGCTTGCTGTAGTGTCCTAAGCTGGGACTGGACGCGTCGGGCGTCGGGCCGGTGGGGAGGGTTGGTCGAGAGAGTCGAGAGGCTCGAGGGTCGAGAGGTTGAGAGAGGTGAGGAAGGCGGAGGGTCGGGTTGGTCCGTGGAGGGTGAGCCGGTGGGCAGTTGCGAGTCGGTTGGGCTGGGTCTTGTCGAGACGAGGCATTCATATCATGAAGAAGAACATTGTGGCGGCGAGCAAGGCTGTGGTCTGTGGTATGGGTATGGGTGGTCTTGCCTGGTGTGTTGTTGTGGTGATGTTGTGGGGAGAGAGGACGGCGGCGGCGACGACGACAAGACCCCCCTGAGCCTCCAGCCAGAGGTGGGCGTTGTGCCAGATACCGAAAATCAGCGCCAAAAGCCTGATCTCGACCCAGCCGAAATGGGCCACGACGGACCAGTAAGATTGCCTGGCTGAGCCCTACGGCTAATGCACGTCCCACATTAGCGCCATGCAGATGCATGGGTATCATGGCTGAAGTCTGCCCTCGCCCCACCCACCCTCACGCGTCAGCCAATGGAACAGAGCCGCATGTTGAGATTTTGCCCCAAGCAGCCCGCTTGGCACTGCCAGCAACCAATCGGCGGCAAGTGCAACTCTTCCTTTCCATATTCCATCCATGTTGAGACATCCCGGCCAGCAAATTTGACCAGCATCATTCCAGTCCACTGCATCCTTGCCACACCACCCAGCCGAGAATCTGACGAGGTGGGAGCGAAAGCGGTGGGCGTGACTGCAGAAAGGCAGCCAGATGCAAGAGCATCGAGGCGGGGTCTCGGGCTCATTGTATCCAGCGACCTCTACCAGGCGACAACTGGCGACAGCGAGAGATTCTTGACTTCATCGATCCAAGGCCAGTCCAGAGAATCAATTTTTCAATGCTATGCAAAAGGACCCTGGAGAACCAAGCAACTGCCGCCTTCAGCCCTTCGTGTTTCGGGAGGATTGGCCGTGACCAAAGGATGTTCCTTCCCCTGCCCCCCTCTTTGTGTCGCAGCACCAACGCCAGCCGTGATGGAGTCAGCCACCAATTTTCCCAGCCAATAGCAGACAGCACACATCGTCTGTTCGCCCGGACATTGACCCCAGCTGACCACCCGACGCAAACACGTATCATTTACCGCCAGACACGGCCCGCACTCCAACAGTTCAAAGTGGTCGGCACTCATGAGCAAGACAACAAACATCAGTGCGTCGGTACATAGATATCATGGTGAATTGGAAGAGGAGGAAAGAGAATAAACTTGAAAATCAAAAAGCCATATTGAAAATATGAAGGATGAAGCAATTGAAAAAGGAAACTCCATGTCGAACAAGTCGGGCAAACGGGCATCCATTTAGCGTCATCGGAAGTGCAGACGCGCAGATCCGATCCGAAATTGTACGTCACACAGGACGGGAGCCTTCGTTTTTGCGACGGAGTGTTTCTGATCGGCCGTTATTGTAACGGACAACACGTGACCGTCAACGGTGTCCAGTCCGTCTCACTCCGTTACGGGTACGGCTCCCGATCTTCCTTTCTTGGCTTTCCATTCCCAGCTGGCCGCCAACCGTCAGCAGCTGGCCTGCACCCAAAACCCCTCGCTGACAAAGCCTCCATCTGGGTTCCTTTCCTTCGCTCTTTCCTCCTCCAGGCACCTGACGCCTTTGAAATGCCCAGCGGGCGCAGTCTTGCGGCAGACGACCGCGCTCTGAGACCCTGACCGAGAATATCCCCGTGACATGGCACCCTCTGCGGCCGAGCCCAGCACGGTATTCTCGTCCTTTACCGGGCTGCAATCATTCTATGACGTCTCCCGTCGCCTTCCCCAGACCAGACTGCCCTGCTGGGCGTTGCCGCTCCCGCACGCTGTCTCTCCTCTCCTGCCTCGCGAGACTCCCCCGCGCCCCGTGCCGGGGTGACCTCCCCTGCATTGCGCAGCCTCATTGGCTCCCTCCAGCAGCACTCGAATCCCCAGGCACCCGTGCAGCTGGCTGCTGCTGGCAGGCGATGACTCTGTGGGTGTGTGCTGGGCCCGTCTGCCCACTGCTGAGGCTGCGCCCCAGCTACTCTAGGGTTCTTCAGCGAGAAACCCCCGTCAGCAGGGCCGGCGCTCTCTCAATCCCGTCTGCTTCTCTTCCCATCTGACTCCTTCGTTTTGGCTCCCTGTTCCATTTCGCGCCAGAGACGGGCGGCCACCTGTCCGGAATAGAGCTTTCTGAGCCTGGTGGAGGAACTGCAAGGCGCATCGGCGAGTCCATATTTTTGTCTCCTCCCCCACTCGCTCGCTTTCCGGCCTGGCTTTGGTTGCTTGAACCGATCGCTCCATCCGCATCTCATTTCGTTTGCTGTGCTGTCCGTCGCAAGTCGCCGGTGCACAAATATATCCCGTCCACCCCGCCCGCTCTCCCGCCCCAGCCTGCGCATATTTCCTTGCCTGTGCATCACCGCCAGGGGAACCTCGCATCAGAGCGAACCTCTTTCGCTCCACACCCTCGTTCAGCCCACGGCCCCTTGCCGCCGTTAGCCAGCGGCGAGTGTCTGCTTGTCATTCCATCGCGTCATCGCCAACCGCATACCACCCCTTACCCGCGCTACTCTGGCTGTGAGATCCATATCCCTCGTGGTCAAGAACAGTCAGCACCAACCGTCGCTGCCTAGACTCTCACTTGTCATCAGCGCCGAGGCAGAGAGAGGTTGCTGCACCTCCTCGCGCACCCAGCTGCTTTTGTGCCTGGGTAGTCCTCGCTGGCCATCACTGCTCGGACACTTCAGCGGGCGCATTGTCTTGCAGCGACTCGCCGAGTGGACCTGCGCCGGGGGCCTGGCGGCCTGCCTGGTGGCCTAAGCTCGCGCCGGTTGCCGCCATCACGGGCCTGCGGGTAGCCGAAGCCACCCAGGGCCGAGCTCCGCGAGCGATGGCTGCCCGAGCCGAGCCGGCAGCGGTGTCGGACCCGACGCAGTCCTTCACTGAGAAGACCGAGCCGTTTCCCGAGTCGGAGATGGACGCGCGCCTGCAGAGCATACGCATACAAAGGCAATCTTTCAAGGCCGACGATGCTGCGCCCGTGCACCTGGACGAGCTGGTGGTTCCACCAGACAAGGGCATTCGCATTCTTGTGCGGCCGCTTAGGAGCCGGTCCGTCAGTCCCGCGAGCCACGACAACTGCGAATGGCTGGCTCTGCATGCCGAAGTCGCCTCACCCGAGTCGCCCAGTAGGCCTCAGCATACGGTTCTGGCCGTCACACAAACGTCCAAAGACATCAAATTCTCCGTCCGAGTCCCAGGCGGTGGAAGCCGCGCCGGCGATTCGTCAGGGAGCGAGGCGCACGGACCAACGCTGTGGTGCGAGATGTACTACGACACTGAGAGCGACCACCAGATCTTTGTCAACAAGTCAGACCTGCCCATCACGCTCACCAGGGTTTCTCAGCTTCCGCCTATGAGCCCCGGCACCGAACACACAGTTGTTCCCTTCATCCCGAAAAAGCTGCCTCCTGGAACATGGAGGATCAAAGTCGATGATATCGACGTCCTGGACTTCAGGATAGTGGAGATGCGGCCCGCGCTGATGCGGATCGCGACCACTTCGTCGTCCGGCACCAGCTCGTCGCTCAATGAGATGGTCAACTCGTCAGGGAAGCGCTCCTTTGTCGCGGACGAGGATGACCCTACCGGCCCCGACGCCAGGCGAATTCGAGGAACGGACGGCTCGCCGTCCTCAAGAAAGCAGGATGGTGTTATTGAATTTCTGCCATCAAACGCCGACAAGCTAGTGTTTACGCTCCCAACCGCCAGTAACAGCAAAAGCCAGGAACTTGTCCCGTTCAATGGACAGCCATTGCTCGACATGCAACCAGGCGACACGGTGCAGATCCCCGGCGGATGCGAATTGGACCAGTACCGCATCACCAAACGGGATCTCATTGCATCGACGGCTCTCTCTAGCGTGTTTAAAAGCACTGCCGAGCATTTCAACATCCCACCAAACAGCATTATAACGGTCAAAGTCCTCAAGACGCGCGCCGCCCCGTCGTACAATGGCCTTATCAAACCTCTTGAGAATGAGAGGAACGTGATCCGACAGGCGGAGGGGTGGCAGCGCGAGTTCCAGTCACATGGGTACCTGCAGCACGACCACATCCCCAAGCTGTATGGCGGTGACGCGCGTTATCTCTCGTTGTATATGGAGCACGTGGATGCGCACGACCTCACAATCCAGGGGACATGGCGGGGAAAAAACAACGACTACTTTGTGGGCACCAAGGCCGACGCTATGCGGATCCTACGCGACATCTCGGGTGCGCTCAACTATATTCACTCGCGCCACCTGGTACACAACGACATCAAACCCTCCAACATCTTGTTTTCCCCGGAGCGAGGCGCCGTGCTGTGCGATTTCGGCCTGTCGGCGCATACCCGCAGCTCACCCACAGCCGGAGGTACTCCATACTACGTTCCACCCGAGTACATTGGAAACAAGCAGCGGGGCCCGGCCGGAGACGTCTGGGCACTGGGAGTCACCATGCTTTACGTGCTTCGGAAGCTTCCCTGGCCCGAGTCGCGCATGAGAAGGAGGGAAAACCAACGGCCGCTGTTCTGGATGATTGCAGATTTGCACAGAACGGCCGCCCAGGCTCGTGGGGGCGCCCAGGCAGTCATGGGCGGCAGGCCAGGTGCTGGATCACAGGTGCCTCCGTCGGCTGTGGTCCAGATGCAGACTTGGCTCAACGAAGTCAAGGAGGCCAGGGACAAGCTAGACCCCCTGGATAAGCTCCAAGGTCTGGTGGGCAAGATGCTGGCACCGAACCCGGCTCAGAGGATCTCGGCCTGGCGCATCATGACGGAGCTGTTTGCGGAGCAGGCTCCTCAGCCAAAACAGCAGCCGACACCGGCCTGAACAAGGCTTACTTTACGACATATATACGACGGATGGGTGGAAGGGATATGGGAACATGTAGGCGGCAGACGGTCATGGTTGGCGTGGGCATGATTTGCGATTTAAAGCTCTCCTTGGGCCTGGAGTTTTCGGGGTTGTTTGGTACATGTTTAATGTGTTATATACCTCTAGCGACTTGTCCGCTTTGCTTTTTACCGTTTGGCTCGGGTACCGCCCTTTTTTTTTTTGGGCGGGCCAGGTCGCTGTCTTCTCTGATTGGTTATACTGTCTGCATTTTCGCAAAGCCTCATTTTTATGCGCCCATAACTTTGGTATTTCTTTCCTCTCGTGGAACGGTAATACGCCGAGCATTAGAACGACTGGCAGAGCAACAAAAGCAAGAAGAAGAGTCACGTGGCAATTTTATATATCTTTTCTTTTTTTCATTGTTTTTGTCTCTTGCGTTGTGTTTATGCTTCTTTGATCGGCCACCTGGCCACTCGGTGTCTTTCCTTTTCAACAATGGCCCTCTCTCATATTAAGCCATCGCGCGAGTCCCCCCGTCCTAGCTAGGTAGATAGGTATATAGATTAGGTGGACAGAGCTCTTTCTCCAAACCCCGCCTCTCTCTCCGAGTCAGAGCCCATGCCGTCTACCATCCGAGGCCGTAGACAAAGACGCCAGCCATGCCGACAACGGAGCCCAGGACGACGCCGTTGACGCCGAGGCTGGCGCCGGCACCGGCAGGCTTGGAGCTGGTCGTGCCGGCGGCCGGGCTCGTGGTCGAGCCGCCGCCGCTGCCGCCGGTGCTGGTGGAGTTGCCCGCGCCGGACTGGACCTGGTAGAAGGAGATGCCGTCCGAGGTCTTGTACTGGCTTGAGGAGAGCCTGGTGGCGTTGCGCGTGAAGCGGATGTCGGCGCACTGGGTGGGGGGTTTTTGTTGCTCATGTCAGATTTGTTTCGCTTCTGGTGGTTTTGTTTTGCATTTGCAAGTTTTGTTTTGCATTTCCAAGTCTCGAAGTGGGGAGAGGCAAGGCATAAAAGAGAGAAGAAGGAACATAAAAAAAAAAACTCACGTTGTACAGCGCAGAACCGGTAGCGCCCGGCGTGATGACCTGAACACTAGCCCTCTGGCCCTCCCTGGGCGTGAAGCCCGCGGGCAGGGCGACCTTTTCGATGAAGAAGGTGCCCTTGCCCGTGACGTTCCAGAAGGTGGGGCCGGTCAGGGACATGTTGAAGCTCGTGACGGTGGCCCTCTGGTCGTCGCCGAGGAGCAGGCCCAGGTTGACGTGCAGGTAGGTCCAGTCGTGGTGCAGGTCCAGCACGACGGAGCCGCCGTCGAGCGGCCAGTCGGTCACGTTGACGCCCGTGTCGTTGGACAGCACGCCCGCGCACGGGTACGTCCACTGCGAGTAGCGGGGCGGGGCCGTGTCGGACAGCGTGTCGGCGCGCCACGCCGGCTGCGTCAGGCCGAAGTGGGCGGCCGCGAGGGGCGTGAGGGCCGCGAGGGCGAGGAGGGGTGCGGCGACCATTTTTTTTTTTTGTTGCCGACTGTGTTGGGGGGGCGTCTGGATTGGAGACGGACAGAAGGTGGGAAAGGGAAAGGTATCTTGGTCCCCCTTTCTTTATCTTGGTTCTTTTGTCCCCGAGAGCTGTGAAACTCTGTTTCGGTCGACCGCAGCAACGATACCTGGATGGCTGGTACAGGGAGAGGTGGGCGGGGGATGGGAACAAGAAAAAAAAAAGGGTTGGACGGCGGAGGATGGGCGTATTTAAGCACCGTAGATCCGCGTGTGGTCCTGCTCTGTTCTGCAGTGTCGTGGTGGTGGTGCGTCGAACGAGGCCCCCCGGGCCCGGCTGCCAAATGTGCTCAAAAATCCCATCGACAACATCATGGCGCATACGCGCTAAGCCAACTTCCCATCCCACCCCGGCTCCTCCTCCCCGCCCCATCTAGAAGGCGACGACGAGCTGGGCTAACATGCGGTCGGGGGGTGCGGGCTTTCCAGCCGCAGCCAACCCTCATCACCAATATCACCAATGCGACCCTTGCACGCGCTTTGGTAGTGGGGGTGATACGGGAGAGCAGGTACGTCGGCATGGCTTGCAACATGACGGGAGCGGGATTGCCACGTTGATATGTGTAATAGATGCATGTGCCACGGCACCACGGAATC